TTGCTGCCCATGCCTACGATAAAAGGAAACACGAAAAATTCAAATTCCATTATCTTATTTTTTCAATTCTACAACGTATATAGGTACACATTTGTTTTCATTGGCTCATCAGAGCAAAACTGTGCTAGGATATAAAATTTTCCCTAGCAGGATATGACCATCGCCAACCAAATGACCATCTAACATCTCGTATATTTTACATTTATATTATTACACATTTTTCCTTCTCTTAATTTTATAATATTTTTGAAATATAAATGTACTTATGTACTTACGGTCTAAAAGTGATGTTCTCTTCAAAGAAACATGGATACAAACGACACGAGGGAACCTTAATATGTAGTACTGTATCCCTGTTCTATAATTCTTTTCGTTCCCTAAGTATCATTCTTCTATATAGGTGCTAACATAGCCAAAAGCAACTATAGAATAGCTTTATAGTACTGAGGTACTACTTATACTACCTACTTTAATTTACCCTTTTCATACAGTGAAAATAGTAATAAGAGTGAAATAAATTAAGTAAATCCAAACCTAAATATATCAAACTCTAAAACAGAAAACAGCGAACCATAAATCGATGCCACAGCACTGACAACTCGAACGCACCCTCCGGAATTAGGCACGCAATGGTCACGTAGTTTCGTCTATCACTCAACTCCACTCACTGCTCGTTGACATATCAATAGTAGGGCTTTTCACCTAGAATGGTCTTCGCATTCGCCGTATTAACATCGTCACATGGGCCTACTGGGGCTGGAAGCCTGTATTTACCGATTCCCGATGCATCATTTGTTCGCTGTCAGTACGGCACTTGACGACGGTTCGTCCACTAACGCAGTCCGACCGGAAAAAAGATAATCCCCCAATTAAATAGAACCACTGCCCGTAAAATTGTTTAAGCGTTTGAGGTAAGACTTTTCAGATTTCGATTGTACGTAGGCCGCTCGGGAAACTACTAATACTCGAACTTGGACCTGCGTAAACAGTAAATTGACTGTCGTTTAAGTAAGGTCGCTTCATATACTTATAGAGTTGTCTACAATATCAGGCAACTATAACTAGTATTTAACTTTTGTACCTTTTCACAATAACAAATTTTGTATTCGTAAACTGGTAAAATATCAAAATATATATTTTTTTTAGTACTGTCACTATCACATTACATATGTGTAAATAATACTTTACAAAATTACTTTTTGCACAAATACTATGATAATATTATGTAGAATACCTAATATTGAAAATATATTTCTCTGAAGCTAATTTTTTTTATCTGCCAGATGAAAATGGATTTATCTATCGGAAAACTCGGTCGTTCTTTTTGTCTACTATCTATTCATCAAGTTAGGGCCGATGTCTGTCTACTGGTGTCCGGTGCGGGTCGCGCGACAATAGCGAGCGACACGACTCGAGACACGCGACAAAATCCACCGCACTGTCAGCAAACGTGTGCAAATTGCTGACGCACTCGCATTCAGCCCTTGACATTCGGTGCTGCTCAATACCATACGAATGTACGGAAAATTATAGCGCCCAAGAGGATTTATGTTCCATGTCGACACATTGAATATACCTATCGTGTCACTGTTCATTCAAATTATTTTGTGTGAAACAGTTGTTCTAGAAACTGGCCTAATTTATATCTATGTCAAATATGCACCTCAATGTTTATAAGTATTGTTAATAATGAAACTTAATAAAATATTTAAACATGATATATAAGACATAAACTTACAACCCACTGCCAGGATTTTTTAATTAAAATTTTATCTAGATGTAGATTCGAGAAAGAACAGAAGTGAGCACTAAGACGATAAACTGTTGAACTATCTTCTATAACATTTTTAAGTTGACATGAAAAATGTAGGTCACCACAGAATATCCTACATAGGTACTATATACATATTACTACATAATGTAGGTAATTAGTAAACAACAGTTTAAATCTAGCCACATTAACCGGAGTGAGTTGGCAGCGCGATGGCCGCTGGCGCCAACCCAACGCTTGCAGGAGAGACGACACAAAGTGGTTGCACCGTTTACCGCCTTCATTTGGCAATCTTTCACTGCATAGTAATGTGTATTCATGTTACCCTATTACTCCTTTTGAATAATTTCTCTCTTATCGTATGGACGATAAATTTTTAGTCCTACCCACTTCCTAGTTATCTACATACCTAATAATCAATCTTCCAAGGGACCTTCACCATATATACCGTTATCGCAGTACTTGTCTAACAACAGTACATTTTTCTATTTTAAAAAATAGAACCTTTATGATCAAGATTATAATCCAGGTGCTTATCACTGGAAGAGATTTACATATGTTTGATATATTAATATCAACGTATACACATATTAGGAACATATCGTGCTGTACACTCACAACTACTAACTTGAGTGGGTACTCTTAGCTTTTAGGCCATGGATTAATTATTTTGTTATCAACGAACGTCTACGGTCAGTTCATAAAACATAGAACGATATTGAATGAACCAAAGCATTGTAGCCTACCACTGAGCACGGGGCTACTTAATCGCTATAGCATTTTTTTTAAACCAATAAGAAAATACTCATTTAGCAAATATAGCCATAGCCCAATGGTAATTATTTAATTATAATTTACACCTATAATTACTATGCTCATAAATATAATCACTAAATAAACAAAACTTCAATTTGTAGATAAAAAAATAAATAGCAATAATTTCAGTTAACAATTAAGTGCAACAACGTACATGCGGAAAAATCACGGAATTAAATATTCACAATTTTATCCAACTGGTTAATTATTCAATGTTTTACAGATCAATTTATTCCAATAAACGGATACTTAAAATTATCAACTCCATGTACAGAGATATATAATAAAATAAAACAACAATAAAATAATAAAAAATTTATTACTACAATAATAAAATAAATACTTACCTAGTACAACAAATAGGTACTTTCTCAAACAATAATATTGGAATGTATGTTCTATGAAGAATAAGGTATAGAAACTGTTAACACGTTTAAAATTATGTTTAATATATTTTGCAATTTATAACAAATTATTGCTCAAAATTTTTGTTCAATTTTTACACATATTAAAATCTCATCATTCGTTGTCTCAATTTATTTATAACTTGTAAACATTTTTAAAACCTTTGAATTAAAGCTTAGTCTAACATTTTAACAATCGATAATGACGGTATAATTGATGATGAATATACATAATTTATCATGTATATATTATTGTTGCTTGTCCGAGTTACAGAGAGACAAGACAAAAGCACAATACAATATTTGAAATGGTAATCCCAACCCATAGCCAAATATTCATGATTACACCAGTTTATGGTACAGAAAGTAGAATTTTTGTCGATACAGAGTAATGATATTTTAATCACAGAATTAAAATAAAAAATGCATTTTAGTACCATTTAGTGAATGTTGTTAAAATAAATAACAGAGTACGAAGACATCGTAATAAAGCGCATAAAATTTATTATTATATTAACTACAGAAAATTATGAATAGTGTTTTTTAAATAAATATTTTATTCAATCACATTGCAATTACTTTAAGGAATAACCTTACTGAGAATTTTTTGAATACAGAAGCCATTAATTTACCACACATCAGGTGACTTTTTACGCTTCGAAGAGAAGGGCATATACGTTTTATGCAGTTGAAGCACTATAATACTATACGTAGTCAAACTGACTCACAAACTTTTATAACGGAATGCCAAACAAACTTTTGGACCACCTGATGGAAACATTATTGTGTATAGCACCACCTACGTATGTATATATATATATATATATAACATACTTTTAGTACATAGGCGCTTTATATCTATTGCAAAGCATTTTTTTGCTATGTAATAACCGGTATATACTCAGAAATTGTTAACATTGCAAAACTGTTTACAGATATCTATGCGATACAAATTATATTTTATATTATAAATATATTATATATTTTAAAACGTTCTCTTCATTCGGGTATAAAAAAACTGTATAAAGTTAAATATATGGGAGAAATATACTTTGAAAATAAAGATATGAAATACAAATAATAATGGTCAGATCTAAATTATAGACACGGGTTGCTTAAATCACATTGGTTGGACGTTTTTTTGTAAATATGTGTAGATATTAATTATCCTATTATATATATTTAGTTTCACTATATTACAAATAATGTAATCCGATTAATGTAAAAGCGCATAGCTCTCATGTCACCTAAATGACTCTTTATAAATATTGAATAAATTAAGAAATAGGTTTTTAAAGATTGTATAATTGAACTAATATAAATTTTACTAAAATTTACGGGTACAATACTTTCTGGTATATAAAATTGTTGACTTAGGTACTTATTACAATATCACAACTTCCATAGCCACATACAGTACAAAAATCACAACAAACTTTAAGCTTTTACAATAAAAAATATTATGTAATAATTTTACTACTATATATATATATATATATATATGTGTTTTCATAAAAAAAATATTGATTTAGCATACCAAAACATAACCTACACCTAAAATTTATACAAGATGATTAATAAATTAACATTTTATACCTTATTAATATTTCTCTCTTGATTTTTTTTAATGAATTTGTTTATATAAGCCTTTGTTAGAAACATATTCTTAATACACATTCAGAATTAGAATAAAATAAAAACACTAATTTACAAAAAGTATTTTAATTTTTTTTTCATTTTCGTTTACAATTGTACACTCGATTCTTTACCAAGATGTTTGTGGAACTCTTAAATATGTCATATTATAGTGGTAAATATACCATTTATATAAAAATGTGTACTAAAAGCTGTTTTTAATAACATAATCTGCTTACTAAACAGTAAATATGTTATGATATATGTCACATATAGAAACTTAATTTTCAAAATAATAATATATAATTATTGATATGAATGCTTGCATGTTCGAAGAAGACCTAATAATAATAATAATAATAAAGAAGAATAACCTTTAAGTCTCATTAGATTTCATTAACAATTTATATTATGCCATAAAGGAGAGACTAACTTTTAGTATTCCATATATTCACTATACGAGTACCGAGTCAATGGTGTGGCAGGGAGAGAAACTCCGAGCAGTTCCCGAGACTTGTAACACGGGTGTATGCTTAAGAAGCTCCTGTGCTGACGTACGTCAGCACACATCTTCATGGCTCGTGTTTCTTTTCCTGTCCAGTCAAATCTGGTAGGAGCCTGCTAATGTAGCTTTAGATACACGTTCTAGTATAAAACCCACTGCAGTTTTAGACAGGACAAGACTTGTAGAAGATTGTAGAGAGATTTGTAAAGCTCAATATTACTAAGAACGCAATAGAATTTTCTAAATACATAATTGGCACATCGGTCGTGTATGTGGTAGTAATTTGTACCTACATTAATATAATAAATTATTATAAAATAAATATTACAAGTGTAAGCAAATGTAATTAGTTTTCTACATTAAATCATCATACATCATACAGGGACAGATTTCTTTGGAGTTGGTACTCTGAAAGAATTTGAGTATAGCTTCTTGAATAGCTCCGGTATGTTGTTATCGGGAAATAAGTTGGTTAATACCGCTGCAACAAAGTACATTTTAATAAAATTCTGTATTAGAATTAGAAATCTAAGCACTTTTGATTAGTCATATAATATTTTTTTATTAGACCACTGATTCGGAAAGCTCATCTCATCACAAGAAGAAAGAGAAAGAAACTTGCTTGTTGCAAATGTAATAGCATTTTTATTTACTTTGGTTATTCATGCTATTTGTCAGTTTGTATTCATACAAAATCCTAAATGTGTAATGCTGAACAACATTTATTTAAAAGAGCAACACGCAAGTTTCTCCTTCTTCTCGTGGTGAGTTTGCTTTCCGAATCAGCGGTCGAATAAAAAAATATTATATGATTAATCAAAACAGCTTACACTAACTTGAGTAATAAAATAAATCAGTCATAGCTATCAAACCCGACCAGTCCCTACACGCAGCTTTAGTAAATAGCATTAGAAATATATTTTATATGTTTCTAATGCTATTTACTTTAATGCTATATATGATGAGTTTCAATCGTAATTGATTCCCCATTCAAACTTCGGCTATCATCCCTTTCAGTGTCAACCGTCTCCAAGGTCAAATCTATCTCCATACCAAAATTCCTGTTAATAATTTCAACCGTAACAAGTAAGAAAACAACTGCAAACAAAATAACATCATTTGTTAGATGATGCAAAGTTCATTATTGTGTGTTCGACAGTTTTCGACATAGCAACCACGTGGAATCCCATTTTGTCCTGTTAAATCAACTTCAACTTATCAGTTACTCCATACCCATATTATAAATGCAAAAGCATGTCTAGATAGACATGCTTTGTCTGTTTTGACTGTATTTTAATTGGGAAAATGTAACAAATAGATATTTGTTACATTTTCCCAATTAAAAGACTTATCGGATCTACAATGTGATATGAATATAAGATCACTATGTCTATAGTATACGTATCACGTTGTCAATAGACTATCTTTTATCTTAAATAATATGAAAGGGGGTGAATGTTTGTGCAGACAAAGTTGTTGATGACATCTAGTATAATGTGTGTAGGGTTTAAAACTTACCTTCTAATAATACTAATATCAGCCTGCGATTTATTTCTTGTGTTTGGAATAAATCGAACACTGTTAATAAGCCTCTTCGTGCTGTATCGGAGCCGGCGATATGGCGTAGTTCATCTAGAAATGTTGAAAAATGTCTTTTCTATGTTGGTGCCATAAAGTGTTTTAAATAAAATAAAACTACGCAATTTTAACAGTTGCGGTACGGAGCATATTAAAGAGAGAGGGAATTATTACTAATAGGGACTAGTGACCCCATCTATAGTAATGTCATGTCAAGACACGTGGTCCCCCCAGAAACCATCTAGGTTAATACTTGGTACATTCACCTTGATGGACTGGCTTGTCTTCCTCCTCATTTTAGCGTTGTCCATCTTTAAAACAGTTATTCCCATCCGATTGTCATCAACTTTTTATAAACATTTGTTTAGATATTGCATGCTTACTTAAGTAACGTTATTCAAATCCAATATGGCCGCGCCCAATATTACGACATATTTTTTATGCTCTTTCATGAAAAGGGTTTGCTAAGAAAATTAAAATAATACAGTGACGACTGTCTGAATCCATTGGCAAATGTGATATGTGGGACCAACTGCCTTAAAACGTTGTTATAAAAACTATAAATCAAATTTACATTTGATAAAAAATAAATATCACACTTTTTTACTCCGGGTGTACTTCAGTCACGTGATGATCGTGCTGCTGTTCATGTACATAAGCGTCAGCTTGTTAGGCCAAAAATATTTTTACTTACAAAGTTTAGATTACCTGAGTACGCAGTAAGTAAGGCAACTTTAGCAGCAACACGCGTCCGAGCCTTTGTAGCCGAGTCTCTGGTTGCGTAGCTTACATTACTCCGTTGTGTCAACCACTGTCTGTAAACAGAAACGTAATTTAATACAAGATTCCACCAATAAACCTGCCATATAGTCCAGTCTTAATGTAAGCAGAAATAGAAATATTCTTTACTCAAATAAGTCTTATTCCATAAAGATACAAACATTGCAATTGGTTTCTTCATTAATTGATTTTGTGTGAATATAAAATATGAAGTAGCATTAGAGTTTTTACTCTTATAATAGGTTAGTTTTGTTACTCATATATTTAATATTTTTATTAAGTATATGAGTAACAAAACTCACCTATTCCTACCGCCAAGCAACTTGCTTTGCAAGCTCTGTCTTGGCTGTAGGGTGCAGATAAGGCAATTACGGGATAAGAGGCATAATATCCTAGTCCCCTAGAATGGTAACGCTTGAGATGTATCGCCGTTGTCACAGTATAACATGATGTCCGTGATGCTATTCATGTATACAGCCGATTGTTACCGTTTACCATCAGGGGAGCAGCTTGCTAGCACTACCAATTACATTAAAAATTAAATCAGAGTAGTCTAGCGATAACAACTGTAATTTATTTGACTTACTTGAATTTCTTCAAGTACTTGACAACATTCCTGGGTGATGTTAACGATGACACTAACTCCAAAACTTTCCTGAAAATAATATAAATCATTATTGGATACTTTTCAAAATATATAATGGATATTAGGATTACGCATGTACCATACAGGGGAAACAAGCGCCAGTTCACGTTTCAGAATATATATAGTGTGAGCCAATCTAAATAGATTTTCTACAAAGAAAAACAGTGGCCCTAAAGGAAACAGTAGTTTTAAAAAAAGTCTTCAAAAGGTCTTCAATATATGTCAATATATGTATTCAATATATGTCAATATATGCGTATCATTTTTACTGTAAAATGTAATTATTCAGATATTCTTACTTATTGACACGATCCGATATTAAAGTTCTCAGCGGGGCTAGTAAGCGCCGTCTCAGCCATAGACCTCTGATGCCGAGGACTTCCTCCAACAATCGTAGAGCTACACTCTCATACCCGTCCTGTTAATACAAATTATTAAGACGTTAATAATAATAAAAAATTAAATAAAAAAAGGCTTTATTTATGATAAAATTAATGAAACCAACACCATGATATGAACCCAACCAATTGAATAAAGAATTATTCAAATTAGTTATGTATTGTCAAAACTATGGCGTACCATAAATAAACATAAAATTCAGAACTTATCGTATTCGAGTTCGAAAGAACCTTTATTGAAAGAACTTATTATGATGTATCAAAATTAGTTCATTTAGTAAAGGTTCATCCTATATATATCCTGCAGTTAAAACATTTAAATAAAGCTGCAATGAAATTCACACAAACAACAGCCTGTACTTTCCCATTGTAAAAATAACCTAAAAAAGACAAAACATTTCAATAGCAAAAAAAAAGGCTTATCAAGCGATTAACGTTTCTATGAATTAGGTATACGTTCTATAACACAAAGACTTTCCTTGCTTTCTAAGAACTGTTTCATTGCCTCATTGCCGTGCAATGTAGGCAATGATATACCTGAACGAGGATTTTCATCTAGATTACGTTATAGTAAAATAATTAAGTACTACAGAAAAAAACTACGTGCACACTGACACATTACAAGACCACACTATTCCACTTGCTGTTCGCGATGTTCCCGCGTTAAAACAAGCTGGACCTTATATAACATTGAATAAAATTGTAACCTTTCTCCATCAGATCCAGGTGATACCGTAAGCTAACAGCTCCATGAATCCGACAAAATGATACCACAGACATGTACAAAAATAGAGACCTTTTTAGTCCCATTTTTGGGTTTTGAAATAGCGGACAAGACACAATACACGAATTTTTATCCCACTTTATACTAAATATTTTAATTGCCAACCCTGATACGACCGTTCAGAAAACGTGGCATCCGAATCGGCCACCGGTGGGCCAACCATTGGGAGCGGTGTCCATAAATTTCTTTCCACTTAGCATCGACTCTGAATTTTAAAGTACCTCCTGGCTGTTGCTGTGAATGGTGTAATAGTAGCGTAGAGTTGTATAATTTAGTAGCTGATGACTGCGACATTGGTTTTCATAGTATCAGTACTTCGCCTGTTTATTATTTTTATGATGTCTCTTATTCCCTTATAGAAACTTTCATTTTATATTTCACCCCCTTCAAATTTTATTACACAAGTAACCCTCTCCAAACCAATTCAATCTATACATCTTCACAATAAAGTTCACCACAATAAATTCAGCGGTTCGGTGTAAAAGATAACAAACATTTACATTATTCGGGATTGATTAATCCCAAAGATAGTATTAGACAGTATAAATTTATATTAATATATGACGATCATATTCTGTCGCATTATAAGTACATTACGATACAATGAATAACGTAAATCTCAATTAACGTTATTCACTGTATTATTACTCTCCTAATTCAAAAAATCTCCCAAGATCTCTCTTTACAACATTCGTGTACATGTAAGATGTCCTTACCATGTACTTGAATAAATTGTATACAAATCAAAATAAATAATAGAAAGAGGCAGAAAGAGAAAGAGAAACAAAGAGGCAACAATGATAGTATATTAGGTACGCTACCTGTGCACTTTGGATTATAATGTTTTTGTTTATGTGAATAAATGTAATTGTATATGACAGTATAAAGGAAAATTGTATATAGAATAAATGTAATTTATAGTACATGTATCAAGGGAGATCATTTTGTTTTGCGCAATTTTCTGCAATTTGATTACTAAGCTAACTAACTTCAATTATTATGTACTGCTCCTCTTTAATGCTGTAATTTAGTTGTTGTACAAATAAAGCATTATAAAAAAAATAATGAGATTGTTCACTACAACTACAAGTAAACAATATCAGTTCTCACCTCTTGTCCATCAGATACGTAGCCACTTTTCAAATTATCAGAACAGTGATCGCTTTTCCCTTGAAACACTTTCGAAATGCCTAAAAATTAAAATATGTACAAACATCTGTTAACCAAACTACTTTATGAAAATAATATGCTTATATAAATAAATGATTACCATCCATGACACCATCCACGGTATTAACAAATTGGTCGGGCATGTTTTTAAGCGTCCTCATTCCAGCCTTAAATGGATTTACAATCGCATTAATCTGTAAAATATTCAATATATTTATTTGCACCAAGTATTATATAACGTGCATGTTTGTTTATCTTATTTTTAGAGTCGACTTTAATATCTTTCTAAAGGATAGTACAAATGTAGAAGAATATATTAAATATATTCGTTGCATTTCGTCGGTTTTTACATAACACTTTTTACACAAACAATTTTAACAACGGCGTTGCTGATCTAGCAGATTAGGACACCGCATTAATTGCTATGGTCGTAGGTTCGAGTGCTCGATTAAAATATTTGTCATCATAAGTATGATTGTTTGTATTAGACCGGATTTTCTATGTATTATGTATGCATTAAAATGCATTACATTGTCTATATTATGGCTAATAAACAACTGAAATATTTAAGTGTTAATATCAGTTGTTTAGTATCCATAACATAAACTCTGCTTAGCTTGGCACTGGATTGCCTAGAGTGAATTTAAGTTTTTAAGTTTTTATATTACTGGAAACAAGTTGAACATGGTGGTAAACAGCATTCGTCGTATATATGCTTGAAAAACATCACGCCAATGACACAAATCTTTTATTAAGATAAATATATATCATCATCATCAGTATCAGTAGTGGAGAGCGTTGTGAGCTTGTAGGGAGTAGTTTAGGTGTGTTTAGAAACGGTTTAGACCTACAACATAACATAAGAATTGTTATTAGTTTACAATTCTGACTGACTCTCCAGTGAAAAACACCGAGAAGCCGGCAACCAATGCGAAAGACGGCGGTAGGCTGGGCTCCGTTGGATACAAACATACCCTAACTATAAATATGGGCGTGTCGTCAATTGTCAACATTATGATGAATGAAACACGTGACTCTGACTACCCCACCCTATCCGGGATAACAATGGTGACTGCATGTTTGTTTATACAATATTTTCAGTATTGGAAACTAAATACTATTACCGCATTGTTGTGTTTTTCCTCAGTCTGTATCGCAGGGCTGAGGAATCCGCCCAAATAATCCTCAGATAGCAAAGCCATATATCTGGTCTCTTGCGCCAAGCTCGAGAGTTTCTCTAGATAAATGTTGAGCATCTTTTTACGATTCTCCAGTACGCTACGGGAAGTATTTAAGAAGGTCTTCTTGGCTGGGAACGGAAGGTTTCCCAGTTCTGACCACTGTAAACAAAATAACAAAAAATAATATAAACCTTACCTACGACTACTAATCCATGAATGTCAATGAATTAATGTATGTCAGTCGCACGAATGCAATTCATATTAGGGATCTGTAATTCTTGTTAGACTTTCTAAGAAGTCGTGTATATGGTTGCAAGCAGCTGCAAAAGTATCTTTTCTTGGTATATATATAAACAAAATTATAAATAACTAACCTTTTCTTTAATTGAAGTATGTAAGTCATAGAAATCACTATATCGCCTGTAAATATGCCACACCTCATTATCGGAGAGCCTTGTGACCGCTATGGCGTATATACCAAACATGCGACCTTTTTCTTGACCGAGCGCTGAAAAAGTTGTTGAAAAAAAAATTATTTTAATTATAATACAATTGAAATATCAAACGAGCTGATAGCTCACCTGATGGTAAGATATAATCGTCGCCTATATAAATAAAAAAACACAGATATCACGTTATCGTGTAACACCCGCGATACCCAATGCGTTGCCATAACTGAGGAATAAACGTCATGCCTCTTATTCTGTAAATTCACTACCTAAACTGAACCCTACAACTGAAACACAGCTTACAAAGCAAGCTGCTTGGCGGTTAAATAGGTGAGATTGAGGTACGCAAACGCTTTTTTCTTTTTACAGTCTTTTTTAAGCGAATATGTACAGTATAAATAAAGGTAAATGTGTGTGTACGTGTACAGAGCTGTAAGATTTTTACACTGCAATAGTGTGCACACTAAATGGACTGTTGTAGTGTATAAAACAAAATTATATAAGTACTAAAGATGGTATTTAAATAACAATCATCTTACTAATATCATAAACCCGGAGGTTTGTACGTGTGGTTGGATGGATGGATGTTTGTTACTCTTTCACGCAATAACTTTTGAATGGATTTTAATAAAACTTTACTATAACACATAGGGCGAAGCCGCGGGCACATCTAGTTTTAAAAAAACAAGTATTCTACATCGGAATTTGGAGTAGTGATTTGTCTTCCCAACTGCGATCCTAAAACTGCATACCAAACGTATGAAACCAAAAGCTTGTGATATGTTACGACAAAATAGTAAGTCCCTTAAATAATTTCGTTATGCGTTAAAAATAGCATTATTTAGACATAATAATTACTTACCAGTTTCAATAATACATGCTGACAATGGTGACATCATATTTTTCGCATTTTTGCTAATTTCGGAATGTGATAGTGATAGGTTGCTAGTGTTGGCAGATATTAAGCTCGATGGACCTAAAAATGATACAGGTTATATTTATGTAAACTTATCATATTACAGATAATAAAAAAAAACTACCTACACTAATGCTTAGCCAAAGGAACAAAGCAAGAATTTTTTGTCTTCAGTTACTGGGACATTTTATATATGTTTGAGATTTTGGAGAGTAAAATTAAGGTAATATACAAGTTTTTATAAGATATTTCATCTTTTCATATGAAGTTTCAAGTAAATATTTTAAGGTTGGCAATCCTGCATGGGACCCATTTGAAAACAAACACTACTAATTGTATATTTATACACTGTTTATAGCATATTAACGTAATATTCATAGTACATCAATGTTATGTATCCATGTAACAAGTGATTAAAATTACAAATACGAACCTGCACCATCATTCATCAACTTTTGAGCGAAGTTACCCACTATATCGGATCTGGAGCGGTTGTGTCTTGTACCAGGCACCGGCAACCCATCGCCTGTTACAATATGTTTTCATTATCTTTAGTTAACTAAATTAACTTGCTTCTAATAACATATTATACATCTAATTTCATAGTAATTTATGAATAATACATATTAATGTACTATAATATATATACTTTTAATAAAGTTCTACAGACTATTGTACAATTAATCTTAAAATGGAATTATACAACAGTACTATACTACTGTCGCCTGTAATATTAATGGGTCCTTTACGATTAATTTATTTTAGTGCACATCCAAATCGACTCTATAATATGGCATAAAACTTGTTTTGGGCAGGTTTGATTCGAATTGCAGTCCATGCTACAGACAATTATTAATTAAAGCTAGATAATAAAACAAAAAAAAGATGTTTCTTGACGAGAAATATTTGAAAAATTATCAAAAGAAATAGAAAAAAAAAAACACTTTTATTCTCGTTATTTTTTGTTAATATAATTCATGGTTTATAGGATAATATAATAGAACAATAGGGATTGAACAGAGTAGAATGGATGGCGTACGGTATAATGGGTAGCGCATGAACATAAAAAAAATTTATTGTAGGCAATACAAAGTTTATCAGGTAATTTAGTAAGAAATAAATATGAATTTTGTACTTAGTATAAATATTTCAAAAAAAGCTTACAATCTTAATCTTAAATATAAATTATTTTTAACTAAATTCTGTCGACAAAATAAGGAATCATAAAATGTTTAAACTATCTACAAAAATCTAGTATAATTGAGATTATATACTTTTTAAATAAATAAAAAACATAGATACTACCAGAAAAATTAAAATTATGAAATTTCATTATATACAACCAAATATTTTGCATTTCGGTAGTGTGTGGTTCTTGTTACTTGGCGTTCTTCTAGTGCGGGAACGAGGGAAGGTGGACGACTTGAAAGGGAGCTCATACTTATATTTGGATTTCAAAAACAGTTTTGGTAACTGGTTCAAACACAATTTCATAATTTTCTTGCATTTGTCTGCCAATTATAGGAGTATTACATCAAAAATAATCATTTAAGATATTTTAGATTTTACTGTCCTATATCATTATTATACAGATATTTTGTAATAAAAAAAATATATTAAGAATACATACCGTATTTTCGTTTGTCGGATTTGTCATCTTTATTAATATCACTGAAACATAATTGTTCAAATCATTATAATTTCTACTATCCGTAGTCTAGGGATTGCAGGAGCATAGTGTTTTTTACCTGTTATTCTTATCTGCACTATCTTCAGAGTCCATCATAAAATCAGACTGCCATGACGGATCGTCCTTTAAAATAAAAAAAATATCTTATAAAATCGCACATATTGCTATTTATATATACAATACTAGAGAACATTAATAAACAAACACATACAATACAATACTGACTATAATACATTATTTGACGGCCTTGGTGGTCTAGTGATTTAGCACACCGCTTTACGTCTGCTCGCGGGGTCGATTCCTCGCACAGTGCAAACATTTGTATTCTTGAGTATGATCGTTTATATCGATCTGGGTGTTTTATATGTATAGTATGTATGTATTTACAAAAAAAAATCAGTAGTCTAGTAATCTTAACACAAACTCTGCTTAACTTGTGACTAGATGGCGCTAGATTGTTGTTGACTAGATTGTTCAAGGATATTATTATTATTACTAACACAATAGAATAAACAAACACAACCTAAGTACATATAAAAGTAATAATAATTACAGATTATATACTTATTAGTGCCCAGTAATAGGACAATATGTCACGTAATAATAAGAAATCCTATTTTCACACCTTTCAACAATTATTCTGTTATAGCATATAATTTACCTCTAAAGCGACGCAGACACACTTCTGCACGTCGTCAAAACACGCAGCTGGATTATTGGTGAACTCCTCGCCTTCCATTGTTATCTTCCTCACGAGTTCCGAATGGCAGTTCTCGGGTATACCCATTACAGCGGGCTTATTTGGCGCTAGATATAAGTCGCACAGTTCCAGTGCTGAAGATCGTACATTGTCCAGAACCGCTTTTGAGGTGTATGGCGAATCTTTAAATGCATATACTTTCATTAACACAATTACGTATTTCAAATTTAAATTTATACAGTCATATGCACAACTTGCACCCTATCTGTTATTCCATTTGAAACGCAATGAATCGAGTTGAGAGCAAGGCAGTGATGCTATCTATTTATTATTGCTGTCAATAAATTTGATAACCATAATATTGGGCTCATAAACGAATAAGTGCAACAGTTAGAAAGAAATATATTACTTTAGTGTGACACAATTCTTCAACTAAGCAGCTTTCTTTGCAACATATGATCCAGTGTGAAAATGTACTAAGGCATGACATCTTTGTCCTTAGGAATAGTAACGCAAGAGACTATTATTCTGTGCAAGATAGTGACGTAGAAAATATGTAATCTACGTCACAGATCCTCTCACTAACAAATATGGACCACCTTTTTATCTAAAAAATAATCTAGACTATTACTGAAATAGGGCGTAAGAGATAGTGGGTAGAAGGGTAAATGATAGGATTCCATAAATTGATAAATATGAAACATACCATCATCATTAATCTCAATTTCGAGTAAGTATTGCACATTGGAGCGCCACGCCGTTGTTTCTCTCAAAAATTTCAATGACCTGGACACTTCTTCAGGTACTTTATCTGTGTCGGTTGTAATTGACCCTGTAAAAATATATAATAATGTTTTTTAAATCTAACGTATTAGGGTCTATATTCGTGTTTTTAGTGGTTCATTAATAATATAGATCTTTTACTCTTTATTTCTGCTTGTTTCGTAAGCTACATGCTTTCCAATTTGAAGAGATATAGCAGTAAAATCCGTCTACGTGTGTACCTCAGTCTCACCTATTTGAATCGCCAACCAGCTTGCTTTGTAGGCTGTTTCGGTTGCAAGGTGCAATTAGGCATTGAAATTACAGGATAATATCTTAGTCCTCTGAAATGGCTACGCATAAGTGGTATCATGATAGTGTGATAAACGTAATGCGGTTCATGTATATAGGCAACGGTTACCGCTTACACCTTACACAAATCTGCTTCAAAAATATAGGTATTTGGTGACGGAATGATCCATGTGTTAGCTGCAAAGTACGAAGTATAACGTAATATTTATAGTTATAAAATTATTGTAAACAAATGTAATACAAATAACATTTAAAAATACACACCTTCCTGTGGTCCTAGAGTCGCCCTTCTAGCATTTATGATCCTCGTTAGATAATGCAATGACGAAAGTTTCTGTCGGTCTTGTATCTCCCATTCACCAGCGCTATCTTTTGAATGCTACATATAAAACAATATATTTATTATATGTTAAAACCATTTTAATTATATGTACTAAATGCGAAAATTAAAAAATAATTTAATATTAAGTAAACATACCAATTTTTGTATATCTTTCTGGACTAATTCTAGTGTTGCATCCAATTCCTCAGCATCTCCACAACTTCTAATCACTAACAGAAACAATTCAGAAGACAGTGTTGAGTCGCGAACACACTAAGACAATTGTTAAAAATATGCATTATTTTAAAGTTTCAATATTGACTTCAAATTTACTACATAGAAATGAGACGAGGCGAGTCAAACTTCTTAGCATTCCATGGATTCACCGTGAGGATGCTGGGTCCATCGTGTGGCACAGAAAGAACTCCGAGCAGTTCCCGGGACTTGTTTCCTACCGGCTTTTGAGAGAAACTAAGTCTAAAGCTGCATTGGTAAATGCAGCTTTAGATACACGTTCTAATATAGGACCCACTGCAGTTCTAGACAGGGCAAAATCTTTTGGAAGATTGTAGAGATTTCGCTAGTATATCTCTCGCGTCCACTTCGACCGTATATAAATTAATCACATAGCCATTTCGCGTTAATTATTTTACGTAATATTTATTTGTTTTTGTTGGATGGTCTTAATGTATATTTGTTTCCCATGATACAGATATATATATATAAGTAGATAAAAAAAGCATACATAAATATTCAATATTGGACTTACACTTTTTATAATAGCTCTGTTTATGTTGTCGGGATCACTAAGTAGATTCATTATTGGACGAAGAACAATTGACGATAATAGGTCAATTAGAATCAATTTCAATGCATGGCACTTCCATGTGTCTTCAGGGGTGATCAAGTACAGCACAGCTTCAGAAACTTCACTAAGTAAGGCTGCAATATAACTTATATTTTATATACTTTCAATTTAGTTACTTATATATAAAATAAACCACCCTAAGTTGTTACCCGTGACTTATCTGCTTTTTTGGAGGGAAAGAATCTAATGTCGAATTTCATTAATATCTGCAGCTCTTTAATAGTGAAAAGTTCACAAACAGACGTCACATTTTTGTATTTATGATAATTGTACATATCTTTCTGTAACCCGCGACTACATCTGTTTATTATAAAAAACACAGCCTGTGTTCGTCTTTGTGACACAATCTGTGTGATACAATTTATCTTCATATCAAAGTTCTTTAAGATCCGTTCTTCCGGAGAATAGGATCCGTCGAGTAGGACAAGACAGACACACTTTCGAATATATAATATTAATATGGACCAGAGTAATAATTACAGTCATTTCAGTTACTGTTGAATCAATCAACCACAATGGTTTTTATGTAATCCTACCTATTGTCGGCAGCTTTGCATGTAAATTTTCAGTCATCCTATTTCTTCTTCATTATAAGAAAATACGAGTAATACAGTGTTCTAATATTAATGCCTCTACTTAGATCTATTAAAATAGACATAGAAAATAGTACAGGCTTAGAAATTCTTAATTATAAATAACTCACCATGTTCTCTTTCGGTATCAATACAAAACGAATCGCGACATATTTGTTTATTTTCCATAGAACATTCCAAATCAAAAAACAAATCGGTTAACGTTTTACCACTTATATTTTCGGCACTCTCATAAAATTTCGATTTGCCAAATATTTGTACATCTGCAAATTGAACAATATATATGTATAAAATAATCATAGAGTACAGCAATAGTCTAATGAAAATAATGCATGTATCTGAATCATTTAATTGAAAATTGACAAATATGACAATCGCTATGGTAAATGAGTGATATATTTTAAAAAATGCGAACAATTTCATACATGTAATAAACAAAATACTAATAAGCAAGGATAATTCCCATAGTGCGATCTAGTACCAAACAGAGCAAAAATTGGTAATGGGAGAATTCTCAGAAAGATGTTGTCCACATAATAGAGTATGCCTGTATCCTGTTCTACATGCAAAACAACTACTTTCCTAACATAGGTATATATAAAAAAGGCAAATTCACACCTACCAGCAGCCCAAGATAAATCTGTGTCACTTTTGTTTCTCCTATGTGTTCTCCTTTCTTCCTTCTTTGGACCAGGTCTCATGTTGCCATTGGTGACATCTTTATTGTTTTGCAACTGTATGTGTTTCAACCTAACTCTTGATTGTTTAAATAACTGTAAATGTGTTGTGAATTCTTCTGGAAATCTTGTAGATAGGATGTGAGTCCAATCTACACCTTTAATTCTGTAATATAATGTCATCACCCATTATAGTCTTAAACAATTGCTACTTGTAAATCAAGTAATTATTTAATTGTTTTAAAATTGCTATTTGGGAATTTGTATTCACATTTAAGATGTATTGTTGAACACCATTTATTAAAAAGAGCAACATGCAAGTTTCATATGTGTTCTTCTTGCAAGCAGTCTTTAAAACTGTTCATATTTCACATCCTCCATTCTAGAGCTACTGCCTGGTAAATTATATGCCACATTTCACCATATAAACAAGAATATGGAGGCAATAAAAAAAAGTGGAACAAAGCACTTGTTAATCAAGAGCTTTGCTGCAGTCATTGATGCATGTTTATCTTACCTGTTAGCTAGATTGGCCCCAGTAGCCACCACCAAACGGTTGATGGTATGTGTTGTAAACTCCACATCATTAGTCAATATCTCATACCATGGTGCCACATAGTCATTAATAATTATCATTATAATCTCATTGAGAAATCTATCTACAGTCTCACTACCAGTTATCCTGTTGTCAAACTTTGGTAAGTTTTCCTCTTTATCAAATAATTCTATCACCTACAAATATAATAACACCTTTAAATAATGTAATGTAATAGAATGAAACAATTGTTACATTTCTTTATTAAATAGGTGACTAAACCGTTGACTAAAGTCTTAATCTCTAGCAATTAAAATATCCAGTATTAACTTTTATAAAAAATATAAATAATCACAAAATAACATAAAACCTGTAGACTTTATAAATAATTTATAACCATTCAGGTATGATAACATCATAAATTAATATTCTATTAGTGAGTACTTAATGTAAATATTAAAGACTTTCTGGTATTCTCATAAATAGTAAAACAGTAGACTTTCAATCATGGCATAGTGCTTTAGTTTATTGACTTACATCCAAAAGATTGAGAGTACAAATCTGGCTGATAACAAACCAAAAATTACTCAGTACGATAGTAAGCTCACCCCTTGCCAAGTTATATCAAATTCTCTGAATACACAGCACCTATCCACTTAAGTATTTAAAAACAAGTTGACTGCAATCTATTAAGTCATTGTGACCAAGAAAAATGTAGGGAGTAATGTCTCCCTCATAAGGTACTAAAGGTTTTATATGTCTCTACATCTTACCTTTGGGAGTAGAATTGTGTAGTTACTTTGTTGCAGTGGATCATCAATGTCCTCCAAACTAACTGAGAATTGTGTCTTACTATCATAAGTGTAATATAATACTGTGATGATTCTGTAAAAACAAAAAATTCAACATATTAATACAAAGTTTTTATGTATATGGAGTGATTCTTCGTAAATAAAATAATAAGATAAGATGTTTTCTTGAATCTGTTGCCCACACACATGAAAGAATAAGGGGATAGAGTAAATTAAAAACAGAAAGATAAGACATATTCTACATAACATAAAAAAAATGTTATCTTTATGTCCTGAATAATCCAATCCAAATAGGGTAAATAACTTTGAATGTGTATCAACATGAAATGACAATTAACAATAGTACAAATTATAATTAATAAGTTATTATTGTATGTTATTAAATAAGTAGTAATTAAAAAAAAATCTTACCCAGCAAGGAAGGCTATTAAAAACATAAGGAAAGTTAGATACCATCCGAAGCCAACCAAACTGATTATAATTACAGAAACTAGGCCGAACCAACCGGCAATTCGGAAAATCATGATTGTGAGGCGGTTCATGCAGTATAATATACATTCACGGAATAAACAGTTTAAAAAACTACAAAATTAAAAGAAAAGCAAAATGAAAACAACAAACTTGTAATACGAAAGTACGAATCTGTTATTTTGACGAATGACACTTTTATCATTTTGACAGTACAAATTGACAGACGTCAAAACAGTACCCTTTTTTATATCGGTCAGTCGATGGATTAATATAATCGATTTTCATTTCACGGCCCATTGAATCTTGTTTCGATTTCATGGATGATTGGATAGCTATATAACTCACAAGTATCTACTTAGAAGAATTTTTATTATAGATATAGGCAAGTATTTCTATCATTATATATCTACGACACGGATCAACATAAGTATAATAGATAGATATGAGTTCGTGTAAAGAATCAAGCGAGGCCTTAAACTACAGGTTGCTGTTTACATCGCTCTAAACGAATAGGTGATTGAAATAACGTAAGTTAGATTAAAATATATATTTAAACATACTATACACACAACAAATACTTTCTAGCGACAATATTCAGCCACCGGATGATTAGTGAGGGTTTGTATGTATAGCCCTAGCTCTAAAGTTTGTAGCTGATATATAATCGTAATATTTTAAATATACGATTGCGACCTTACATAAATAAATTCTATGGTATCAAGGAAAAGGGAAATGAGTCAATTTCTTAAAAACTGATACAGATACAAATTAACAGAAACTACAAAAAATATGCATAACAGCTTTTTGGTTTATTGAAATACATGGTTACAACACAATCACAAGATATTTTTTTTACAGTAGGTGTAATTAAGTCTTGGGACTACCTAATAATACTAATAATATAATTTTATTGTCAAACATGTCAAATAAACAATTTGATCATGATGGTACATTTTTTCGATTCTATTCATTACTTATTGTTCTAACAAGAATTCTAACAAGTCCAAAATAAATGCATTTGCGTGTAATATCGCTTTTTGCGACTTAACATTTTGTATCTGAATAAACATAAGATATGTTGTGTTTTAAATTAGATGCTTATAGATCATCTTATATATAATGTGGTTAAAAACGATTACAATATTATTATCGTGAAATGAAGTAAAATGAAAATTTGTGGATTGCTTTTCCTAGAATTGCACAAAAGTGCTAAGATGTAATCCTATAATTTTCTCACCTAAAAAATTATTATGTGCTAGACGCGTAAAATTCGCGCAATGCAAATTCGTTGTGTTAGAGTACTAACATAATGATAAATATCTAAAGATAAATAAATCTGTTAACTTATACAAGTACTCGGTATATTTAATAAACAGTCGAATATCTTTTTATAGAACAAACAGTGTTTAAAATAAAAAAATAAGTGGAATGCAAAGCTTCTTGGGTTACTAATATAGGACATTTAAGTAAATTAAACTTCAGCTATCGCACAGCGACCTCTAAGCCCAATTAAGAAGAGCAACTCTGTGTTGAAATATTTTTTATAGTAAGTAGATAAAATATAAACAATATATATCTGAATAAATATGGAATATGTCCACTATTAATATATTCTTTATGTCATGCTTATTTTTAGTCTAGTTAAAAAGATATTCTAACATTGTTTATTGTATATACCAGGTAGAGTCAAGTCTTTGTTTTATGATAGACTTTAGTTTACATAGTATCTTAATTTTGGTTATTGACATTTCTTGCTATAACTTTTGATGTACACATTTATTTTGATGAAAACACTTGTGACATATAAAAATCAGTTCATAAAATAAATACAAAATGTATTTTAGTAATACAGTATAATTAATAAAAGATGGTAAATGTTTTGATTAAATGTTATCAGTAAAGGGCAAGTTTGGATTTTTAGTGACTATTTCAATTATTCTTTTAGAAAACTCTAAAGTTCAGATACAGATATAGTAATTAGACGAAACCTACATTGTTAAAAATGTGGGTATTTACTTATTTATTATATTATATAGTGAGTGCTTCAACAATTATTTTATCTATGCAATTTTAAAAGTGCATGAAAATACAATTTTTTATTTTTATTCTCAATTCCATTGTCAGATTATTATCATATACTTAATTGTAAACATGACCCACAACAAAATGTGGACTAATGTACCATTTTACAATATAATATAGTGATTTATATTGGGATCTCCACAGTGACAAAAGGAATAATCCATAATAATTTATGGATTATTCCTTTTGTCACATCACAAATATTTTATGATTTGGCCCACTCCATCCGTAGTCTTGTCACACGACTCCCGTTTGTGGGACTCTCCCATCCTTGTGTGCTGACAAATATTTTTAAAATTCTTTAAGTAGAAATGATTAAGTTAACAGAAACACAACAGTTCCTAGATTAGACTTATTTCCATTTATAATATTTCTTTTTTTTTATTGCATATATTGAAATGTAATGTCTCAAAACCAATGACTGATCCTTGTCACACCCTCGCCTCCTCTTAAAATGTGACATGACTTATGAATAATCCCAACTGTAACAACACATAAACAGCTCGCCAATCTCCTTGATACATTTAATCACTATTTTAAAATGGTATTTAGAATATTTCTCCAATTTACCTGACTAGTGGTTAATTTCATTCCACACAATGTTCAATCAAACCGAGTTGTTACATATTACAATCCTTTTCTATGTAGAGACTATACACCAATATATCTATAGCATTAATTATTACTTTATTATCACAAGTTGTGAACAATATGATATTTTTGGAAAGTAAAATGATAAATAAGAAATTACTAACATATGCATGTAATATTAAACGAAAAAAGGGAAGATACGGCACATTCTTACATAATGATAATCAACTGAGAATATATCTACTGGCCCGACCTTAAATTACGTCTTCCCGCTTTTTGTCATAATTGGTCACATTTGTGAGTTTTGATTTGAATTAATTGGAAATATTTGATGTTTCACTAGGCAACGGAGATTGCCTAGTGAAACATCAAATATTTTGCAATTTTTTAAAATATTATTAAGGTTTTCTTCAAATTTTAACATTTTGTTCTAATAATTAGATTTCAGAAATTCAATCCCTAGTAGTAGCACAAAAACCTGCTCTTAATATTTATGCATAATTTAAGGATGGATGAATTTATTGTGCTTACGTTACCGAATGACAGATAGATATACTCTTTAATATTTTCACGAATATCTTCAGATCTTTAAAAGACATTGGTTTATCATAAATTAAAATGAATTTAAAGCAGGTACATTGAACTCAGTTTTGTAGAATTACACGAGATTACCGTACCGTATCCTTATACCAATTATAGATTTTAGTATATGTTACCTATATTTTTTAGGATGCTTTACTTTAGGATGAAAAGGAAAGATGAGTGGAGATGAAGGAGGATACATATGGCATAATAATCTGTATGGTCCTTCTATGGATCGTGGGATGTACCACTGAACCTATGCGTAATGCATTTGAAAGGACATGGGATCTCCTTTACCCATACGACAAAATATCTATATCGTTATACAATAGCTTTTATTGTTACCTAATAATAAATAAATATAAAGAAGCGTTATTGCTTCAAAGTTACATGAGTCATGAGACCCTTTTCAAATTCGCTCAGATCTATTTTTTTGCAATTAGATGTTTCCGATGCGCATAGAGAATCAAGTCATTTCACTAGCAAGCTTCATAGATTTACGTCTTTCGTAAAAAATAAATGCGCAAAGGAAACAGTATTTTTATTTCAACAAAAAATATATAAGTACCGAAGTAATAAATAAAGCTATTTAGCACTTACGTCCTTATACTCTAATCAGCTGCCAATGCAGTAAATAATTATTTATATGGGTCTTTTTCATTATGGTAGCCTCTCCTTAATACATATCAATACATCAGAGCTGATTTGTTACATAGTTACATATTCTATTTCTTATACATTTCGCTATAATTGCAAGATTGACATTTGATAAATGACAAGCATAATACTTTAGGTCAATTGATCTAACTAAAGAAATTACATTGGCTAAGCCCATAACATACTTAAACAAAAGTTCCATCATTTCGATGTATAATGATAGAAATATTAGAATGTGATTTAAATATTTTAATAATGCGTAAGTCTTATCTTCACAAATTAGTAAGTGCCAAGTGTGATCATGAATAAATTGTGACTATATAAAATTATTCTATTTAAAGTTTATTCATTGTTCTTCTAATATTGAATGAACAATGTAAATATATAAAAGTAATTGAATAATTAAAATTTCAACGGCAATTAAACAATATCAAAACCTATTAATAAAAATTAAAACAGGCACTGACAGGGTATCACAATATTTGTTATATGATGATTTAACCAGCCAATATGTATAGAATTTTTCAGTATAAATTATTCGGTATTACAAATAAGGTTCACGTGCTATATTGCCTACAAGTTTAATCAATAAAGCAAGAATTTTATCTCCGTTATTATTATTCAAGTCAATTTCATCGACAAATTATTCCTGATAACAAATAAATAGATTAGTATCACAAATATTGTATTTCTAAATAATAAAATTAATAATACATATTGATATTTTCAGTTTTCTTTAAAAAAATTGTTACGGAATGAAAGCAAGTATAATTTTTTTTCATTTGAGATATTCATTATAATTAAGATTCTCGGAATTAAAATTGTAATCCATACGTTATACGTATATTAATACAAGATCAGAGTTTTAGACATGTTCAATAAGTTCAATCAAAATTCTGCATTTATTCAAATTGACCTTACTGTCACTACTTCATATGAAACGAATTAGAAAAGAAAATTCAACTACTCTTATGCATAATAGTCTGTTTTTTCTGACCATCGGTTGCAATGATGGTGTCTGATGGTCACCTAAGTGACATATTTCTTCACAATCCCACTAATACGCTGTCCTCAATCGATTATTCCCTATACAATAAATTAATGTTAATTTATGACTAATCAACTATACATTATGTTACAACATACTCAACAAGAATATCAACAATGGACTTGGTAATTATTACTAAATAAATACATGTACAATTATTGTATAATATAGCTAGTTACATAAGCTTAGTAACATTTGAGAATCTGATAACATGGGGACATTTAGTTTAACACCATCGAAGCAGATCTCGAGCCTACCGTGAAGTCCTTATACTGGGAGAACACGCAAAGCTGTAAATATTAAAAATAACATTGCATTACACAAGATTCAAGGAAAAATAAAATATACACACAATGTCAGAGTAGTATTATCCTTTTAATTGTTATTGCCTAAGTTTTGAATGTGTATTATCTGTTTCATTGTCTCTATACATATAATAAAAATGCAAATGGCCTTGGTTTGTAAATCAAAGATATAATAAGAAAAACTATGAATATTTTAATTTTTAATGTTTACCTGTGCCTGTATATCTGTGTATTCTTTAATCTCGGAAATAGCTCAACTGGTTTGAGTATGATTATCACTTATTACTGTAAATATCACTTTAAATATTTGTTCCAGTCCAAAAAGAAATTGTTGTTCTTTTTGTTTGAAAACTGACTTAATTACTTTTTTCTACTGACTAAATTAATGATGTTAATAATTAATGTCAAACACAAGTATTTGAAACATTAGATAAAAATAAAACATTCTAAGAAATGTACTTATAAATCTTTTCATAAGACATTTATTTATTATATTTGAACTTGCACATAAAAAAGTTGGTCAAGTTCGAGCAGTGCTGTCATTCCATCAGTTTTTTTAGGATTGGTATAGATACAAAAAAAATAAAAAATAATGTAAAACTGACATGAATTTAAAAAATAATGTAGTATCTAAACTGTTTATAATAGCATTACATAAAGATATTACTTGTATAAAACTTTCACCTTATCTTTAAGCTGCTGACACATATGAAGAGAAGCTGTTAACATCTGCAACACATCACTCAACCATGGCACAGCACAGTCTGCCTGACATGAATCAATCCTCATTGTTCCATGCACAGAACTTAGTTGGTATGCAACAAATATCAACTTATGAGATTGTATGTAGAATGATATAGCCAAGTCTTCAGGAAGATTTGGAGATAGTGCTTTCTGAAAATAATTTGTATATAATATTATTATAACACGTTTATATTTTAGAATCATGTTTTTTAATATGAATGCTTGTATTGAGGCTTACATAGAATGATTATATTTAAGTACCCTACATATTTGTTTTTTTTGATAAAAAGTTATATTGAGGGTGACAATAAAAGACACACACAATTATTGTTATACAACATATATAATATGAAAATCTTACTAATATTGTAAATGAGAAAGTTTGTGAGTATGGTGGATAAATATTTCTTACTCTTTCATGCAAAACTAATTTACAGTAATACAGCTTGTACATCACAATAACACTGATGCTATAATTTAAAAAGATATTATGTAAAGTTGGTGAAATATAATGATAAACGGCAATTAAGTGTGATGCAGACGAGCTGTGTGGGTCAGTGACTACTTGATATGGACACTACTGTTTAACATTGGATATATTATTTTGCTGTATAGTCACATACAATAATTACAAACAACCCTTTAATAATGTCAAAATAATTCTCAAATAGTAACTGTAACAAAATATAAAAGTATACAGTCAACCCTCCTATAACGCGGTACTCTCAGAACGCGGTTTCCATATAACGCGGAGCTAAAATTGCGACAGCCCTCCTATAACGCGGTACTCTTACAGCGCGGTTTCCGTTCAACAACGTCCCATCAGTTCTTTCCGTGCACCCAATGAATGGTTTTAACTGGATATGTTTATATCAGCGTGGTTCACGGGTGGGGCTCCTCATGCGCTATCTTCCACTTCTATTAACTAAATAGTTTCGCATCGACAGCGTGCCATGCGTGTGTGTGTCTAACGAAACTGTAACATGAAAGATATATATGTGATCTTTTGACTACATTGTCGCGTGAACTATAGAAAAACTATGTTCTGCTTATGTCTTAGCCGCTTAAAACCAATGTGAAGATCAACCAAGTGAGGAAGACATTTTGCCCATTAAAAGAAGGCGAGTTAGGCGACTCATATCTGACAGTGAGGATGAGTGTTGAAAGATTACATCATTTTACAAAAGTCTTTCTTTTGTTTTTGTTGGAAAACAGTTTTTTAGTTTAGTTTTTGTTTCATTTTTTTCATCATTTCCTTATTTTTATTGAATTGAAGAGTTCATACTCTTCAATTCAATAAAAATAATTTATAATTTATCTTGTCTTTTGTATTTATTGGTCTCCATATAACGCGGTAAGAATGATGTGATTTGTACTTATTCTGAGTCTCTTATAGCGCGGTTTCCATACAACGCGGTAGACGGTTTCCATAGAACGCGCTACGAATTAGCCTGGTTTGTATGGTTAAATCCGAGTTTCTTATAGCGCGGTTTCCATACAACGCGGTACGCACTCACCGCGTTATAGGAGGGTTGACTGTATATGTATATATTGTAGAGAGAGGAATCAATGAGTGCCTATAATTTGCAAAACAAGTTATATTTATTATTTATTGTGTAAGATCATGATGTTGGTATTTAGAGACTTTTGAGATTTAGAGATTTTTTTTAGAAGGCTATAATATTAGGCATTTCGAATTACCTTTTTCTAGGTCATCATGCATCAGGATTGATGAAGTTTTTATTTATTTATCAATACTGACTGTCAATATTAACCAAAATTACTTGATATAGAAACAAACATAAAACTTACTAATAAACTGTAACCATCTCCATATACAATTCGAAACTTGTAATTACAAGCCATGCCTTGTAATTACTATTTCTTACTTGGCTGCCATATACCATGGTGTATGGTATTCAAGTAAGAAATAGTCTCTACATATTTCAAAAACTATACATACATATGTACCTAGTAGAAAATAACAATTATATAGTAATTGATTAGTTGACCTAGATAAGTGACAAGTGATTTAATTGATAACAAATCAATCACTACTGCATACATTACGACCTCCATAGCTTAACTGTTTACCACAGTACATTTTATGATGGTTGCAGGTTAAAGCTGTTTACAGTGGTCTGGGTGTTTATCTGTCATTCATTATTAAAATTTTGTCAAATCATTATTTAAATTTCATTAAAATGGGTGATTTACTAAATTTTTTTAAAATTCTCTCCTAATATTACATACCATATTTCTACTTTTCATAAGCTCATCGATTGCTTTTTTCTTAGGCAGTAGTAAGGCAGTACGGGCTCTTTGTAGAGATCCAAGTAGACACTGTATTATGTGCAAAACTTCTTCTGAGGATCTGAAATTAATACATAAAAATTTTATTGTCCATTAATTTTCTAAAAGTATATTTTATTTAATACATTATGAAATACAATATTTACTTGAATATATAGTGCTTGTCAACATTATCAATATAACCTAAAGCCTGTTGTAAGTGGTTAGCAGCATCTTGAATTTGTTGTAATTTCCATGGTCCATCCTGATTAATAGATGTACGACATATTGTATGCATTTGTCGCAGAACTTTAAAACTTATATCCTGGAATATAAAATATATATTACAATTATTAAGGTAAAAAATAATAATACAAGGAAAATACTTGAACAAGTAGTGTGTCAATATGTTATTGTAGATATCCATAAATATACAGCATAACATGCATGCTCAGTCTTGTCATTTATGAAATGATAACAACAATCATCCCATAAGTTAATAATTGTAATAAGAGTGATAACTATCTATGCCTGTATTGTACAAAAGGTTGAAATTAAAGAGGTGAAATTGTGTGCTTTTACCACATACACACAAGTATGGAAGAATAGGATCTGATAGGATTAGATATCTGAGCCATCTCAGATGCATAATTCAGGGGTCTTCAAAATCTGAATTATTGCATATAAGCCAACCAAGATCATGTTTGAAGATAAATACAATAAATTTAAAATTTGACAAATGGTTTAAATATTATATGTTTCAGTGACAAATTCCAACCCCTTCAAAGTAACAGAATTCTAAATACAAATATTATATTTACCTATTTATTTGTAATTAATATTAAATGAAGACTTACTGCATGAGTTATGCTATCTCCAGTGAGTGTTACAATACATTTTAATTGTTCAGGTTGCGATGTTAAAATAAATTTGTCTTGCTTTTGACCTTCGTTGCCATACAAAGGCACAGGAAACCTATGGGCACATTCCTAAAAAAAGATATAAGTAGTTCATTGAAAGTATGTAAATACATTATTATTATATAAAAGTTAATGTTATACATAATTCAACAATAGCACTTACAACGAGAACCGAATGTAGCTGATGTAATACAGCGTGAACCTCTTCACGAAGAACCCATTCAAATTCTTCTTTCTGTAAACAATTGAATGATAATAAAAGTAAAATAGCTGAAATAACAACCGTAAAATCGTCTATCGATTTAAACAGATATAGATGACATTTTTAATTTACCAAATTAGCGGCCTCTTCTTTTTCGTTATCACTCATTTCAATAGAATTTTAGGACTGTGTTTTACTAACAAATGTATCCCATTAGGAGATACTATTCCACTTCCTTTCTAACTATTTAAAATGCCATAAAAGCAATGAGAATATGATAAATTTATTTAATAGGTAATAGGTACGAGGACTTGTCGAGCACAGAGTATATTATTATAACTGACATGTTTCTATAATGACTGACGTATGAATCATTCCTTGTTCAACTATAACTGAAGCTATAGAAACTTGAATACAATAATAATAAAGAGTTTTATTCATTTTATTTGTTTTTCACATAATCATTTTCATTGCATTCGTGTTTTGTCAAAATGACAAACTTAATATTTTTTTTATTGTTAATTCAAGTGGTTATTAAAAAGTAAATTTTATAATTATGATAGAACAAATTCGGCGTTTCTATGGACAAGTGGAAAAAATGTGCAGAGACGCCGATATTATTGCGGGGTAGATATGTCATGTTGTTAGTTGTCTGTTGCGCATATATTCAAACAAAATGCTGAAGAATAGTTTGGTATATGATGTGATCAAGTTACAAAAACACATAGCTGATCCTCTTTTTCACGTATTCGATGATATAAAACGAGTTCTGATTAAAAAACATATACGTATCAAAGTTGACTTTGTAAGAAATTCGCCTGCAGGGGTACATCTATCTAAATAGATATATCCTATATTACAGGCACCAAGAAGGTGGCTTTGCAAGCTGTATTTCGTTTACATCAAAAAATCAAGTAGATTTTTTAGGATAAGAGGCAGGACATAGTATCTACTTTAAAAAGGCAACGCATGGGTGGTTGCGTAAATTAGGTACATTATATAATATTAGTAGTGCTTTGATTAATTACATATGGGCACCAGTTACAATTATTACCAATCAGTACAATTGTTTGCTAATCCGATTACTTAAAAAGACAACATGTCCTTAAGAGCCAATAATAATATTATGCATTGCATTCGAGGCACAAAATATTATGTATTCGGCATAATTTAATTTTTATTTTTAGAAAATCTGGCCGTCACATGAAGTTTCCATACACTATGTCAGCTAAGATAGCACAATTTCCAATTTTTCATTATTTGAAATACAGTAATATATGGATGTTTTACCCTGGTGGTATTATAATTGGTTTTTATTTTGTAAGTAAAATTCATGCCTTGGTAAATTCTGAAGAAAATAAGAGATCATGGGCTGAGACGCAAAGAAAAATAGCAGAAAAAGAACATCGTCATTAAATAAATAACTTAAATTTTATTTCAATGCGCGGTACCTAAATTATTACATGGTGTGTTCGTTTATTTAGCAAATTATTAAATTGTAAACGGGTAATCATAATCACTTTTTTGTGTGGCGATTCTATTAAAGATGTACATCGAATACATACTTCTATTAGTTAATACATATTATGTTTCATTCTAGAATCTAGACCGTTGTGCATTTTTATTTTGACTACGGTGTATTTGAAAAATGTATAATTTATTTATAAGTGTTTATGTAAAAGTTAATGTTATAAATAATAAAATCCTACTGCAGAAAACTACTACAAAGTTGTATATATATTACAAATTTAGATTTCTAAGAACTCGAGTCTTCTTACCTGGTGATTATATACTCAATAAGTTCTAATACCCAGTGCAACTATAATAATGATACTCGGCCGTCGCAATCAAAAGAAAAAAATATAAAATCTAATAGAAATAACATTTACTCCGCGGCGCTTGCGCAGGCTACAGTATTTCTTAGCTAAAGTTAGATTTTAAGTAACCAGCCCTAACAGACTCATAATCCAGTTCATGAGCCTGTGGTTGTCGCCCTCCTAGTTGATATCGAGGCAAAGGGGTTCGGCCCAAGACCCTAATCTACACTACTATAGGCGTGCTCATGATGAGTGTCAGTCAGCTGTCTCGTTAAACTGTTGTCATTCTTCGTTATCCATTATGTTGTCAAACGTCAAAGTACTAGACTCTATTACTAATATCTGAACTGTGCCTATAAAAAATATAAACTTCAACAAAAGATTTTGATAAAAAAAATAATATTTAAGTGTATCAAAATATCCATAGCTTTGTTTAACTGTTGAATAGTATATTTTAAATTGTTCATTTATAATTACTTTATACCAAAATGTGGGTTAAACCTCAAGAAGTTTTTTTGAAAACTGCGATGTGGTAATGTTTTTTGGTTTTATTTATTTACTATATTGTATTGTGTCTTGCAATTCTGTTCTTTTTATAGTGTTTTGCTCTTCGTAAGTGTTTTATTTATTAACAGGGATAGCGACGAAACGACGCTGTATTTTGTACTACAGAGGAGGAAGGGTCATGGGAAGTCTCGCGGACTTTCTTCGTTGCTAGTGGGGACTTTAGATAGTGTACGCGACTCGAAACCAGCTCCATACAGAATTCTTCATCAGACGCCTAATTCTGAAATATATTATGGCTAGTATTCTTTTGCTTTACTCTATACCTATAATTCTAATATCAGCTTAATGACAGGCTTATTCTCATGTGTATTTCTCATTCATTAAATCGTGTATTTATTTAAATATATATTATTGAAAAGAAATTACATGCAAAATAATTTGAAATTGCCAATACTAAACTAATGTTTTAAAATAGAAAAACAATGTAGAAATACTTTTTTATGGCTTCAACAGTTTACTTTTAATTGAATGTGATTACTAAAACAAAGGGTCAATACATTAAATTATTATGATCAATGTACACCAGTTAGTTTATACCTTGTTGTTAATTTTTAAAGAAAGACATGTATTTTATGTCTCTCTGTTATTTATGATTACTAGCATAGCTCAAAGTAGTGATTATTCACTTTAATTGATGATATGATTGCAATAATTTAGTTACAGTAGTATATGAATATGTGTAGTGAATCATGTGATATACCTTCCAGCTCAGTGGTCAATAGTGAAGATTACTTTAATTAACTTTTATTATTTTATTAGTAATTCTATAACAACAACAATTTACAATAAGATTTTTTTTAAAAAGTTTTAATACTGAATGACACAAAATATTTTATAGTAGATGTGGGAAAGTGATAAAATAAAAATGAAATAATTAATCTCTATGTGTAACTAGAACTATGTGGCTTCTATAACTAAAGTATTATTTTATTCATATATATTATTTTATATACATCTATTTATATATTTTTTTTTGTTTTATTTATAGTAGCCAATAATACTTGGTTCTCTTTGCCTACCTCATAAGGTCTGATATAGAGCTGTATCTAACCAAGATTTTGTGGTGAAAATCATATCAAAGAACTACATAAAATAATTTAAAATGGTATTAAAATCCAACTTTGTGTTATGTAGCATTATATATAGTTTAGTAACATATATTCCATATGTAATCTATTATTTCTTTATTACTTAACAGTTATAGCAACTGCACTATCAGAAAAAGAAATACGCCAGGACTGGCAGTGGCTTGCAGATCATGTGTCTGCAACATTGCATTCATTTGACAAGGAGGAGGATGTTACAGAGTTTGTTTGTTGTAAAATAAATTCAATAATTGCAACAGAACAAGAGAACTTTACAGAAGGTATAATATATTTTTTATCTAATCATATCTTATTGCAACAAGGAATTTGAACAATAACAGGACATAGTTATCAGTGTGTTAAAGAAAAAAATATTTGTTTTTAAAATTACTTTACAAAAAATTTATGGATTGGCTTATGGATGCATCCATAAGCTTATTTTTTTAACTTGTATATTAATCAAATTGGTTTTAAAATTCATATACAGACATTTAGTCTTCTTTCGGCGGTCCCAGTCCCTAACAGTAATAAAGTGCAGAAAATTGGTATGGGAAGTTCGTAAATTTACAGGACTGGAATCTCCAGATATGTGTATTATATTTTTATAAAGTTAATAGACACAAATAGTTAATTAAATAGAAAATTAAATTATTCAAAATTAAAAGCTAGAATGGCCTCCTTTTATATAAGTCGATTGAATTAATAACACCATCAAAAATTTTTGTTAAAATTTTAAGGAAAAAATAATAATGCTTGTCTTGTAAAACATGTACATTTTGAATAGTGCCATTTTTCTATTTAACCGACGAAATTATCTTTGTAATTAAACATTAATAGCAGATCTCTAATACTTATTAACATCTGTTATTTCTTTTGTGGAATTCTGCAATACAGGTTCGCCTAGTCCAATGTATAATCAAATTTGTATGTTTCAAAATAAATACATAAATTATTTATTTTATTTTATTAACATTCTTTTACCATTAAATCTATTCTTTACTATTTTTAGGTCCTAATATTTTCTAAACTTATTTACACACCTATTTTTTTTTCAGATGAAGACACTCTTATGTATAAAAATGTTGCAAATGAATTCCATCAAAAATTTGGTATGCCCAATGATGAAAAGCTAGTATGTTATTACTCTTGCAGGTATCATCATTATATCTTTCTTTCTTTCAATTAGTAAAAAAATATTAAATAGATAAAAGAATACTATGTATGTATATATATATATGTATAGTTTAAAATGCTGTGTGATAGAACTATTAGCTTTTATATTAGTGGGAATGACAAATAGATTATAGCAAAAGATAGCCTGAGGATATTTACAAAGCATCTAAACAGTTATAATAAGAATTAGGTACTTAATATAAAAGTAATTCATTCTAAAATATCAGTCAATATAATTTATATAAATCTATTAAATTGAGAACATTGTGTCATTAATATTTATTGGGATGCTATGAATGTTATTATTTTTTCAGTTACTGGAAAGGAAAAATGCCACGACAAGGTTGGATATATCTATCAGTGCATTATATGTGTTTCTATTCATATATATTTGGGCGAAAAACCACTATTAAAATTCGTTGGGCTGACGTCACTGAATTAGTGAAAACCGACAGTTTGCTGTTTCCCGACTCAATTAAAGTGGTCACAAGGGATGGGGAGCATTACTTCACTTTGTTTCTGAAAAAGAATGAGACATTTGCTTTGATGCAACAGTTGGCAAACATAGCTATGAAGCAGTAAGTATTGAAAGCGTTAACTTAAAAATATTTTCAATCTTTGCTGATAAATTGTTGGGCATGCTCTCATAATCTTCTATGATTTCTTTATGGTACGTATTGAATTGTATATCGCTTATTTAATTATTAACTATTGGTATATTTAATTCATATTTTTCATTTTTATCTACAAGTGAGTAATAATTCGTTTTTAAAAGAAGGTAACTTTTCTTTTATAAGTAGTTATTGTTACGTTTATTTGATATTTGGTAGTTATAATGTTTTGTTAGTAATAATAATTTGTGTATGTTTTGTATCAACATATTATTTTTTAAGGTTGATTGACGACAAGTCCGGAAGTTTTAATATTGACAAAGATCTATTAACTAAATTAAGCAAAAATGTACCAAAGAAAGCGTCATTTCTGAAAAGAGATTTGGATGCAAAGAAACAATCTAATTTATATACATTACGGTTTCGATTACCGCAGACGGAAAAATTGGATGGTACAGAAATGTGTACTTTGTGGACTCCATATAATAAGAGGGAAAATTGGGGAAGACTTTACCTATCACAGAACTTTATTTGTTTTGACAGCAGAGTAAGTACCCATGATAATATCAACTGTTAAGTCATAAAGTAATAAATAAGTCGTATAAATGTCATTATGTCGTATTTGCACATATTTTAATGTAGTCAAATTTACAATTTATTAGAAATCAGCGTATTATATAAAAACTACTGGCCTATTAAAATCCAGTATAATACAGCCATCTTTCGGATTAATTTACTTTGTTGACGGTGTTTTCTGTACTGGAATCTTCCATATATATTATGGATATTTTTTTTATTTTGAGAATTCGTTTTGTCGTCTTGTGACATTATTTTGAGTAGTAAATTCTAAGATACATTCCATGCCGTAGCCGTAGTGAAGTACATATAAATTGTTGTGTTATAGAAATAAGTGTAACGGCGTATTTTCGATTGAAACTTTTGTTCTGTTTATTAAAAATAATTTAAATTTTGAATTTACTTTTTCTATTTAAAACATATTTAGTAAAGATGCCCAACGCATATTGTGCATGATATGGTAAAAACCAATAAAATTTAGAACTTCAATTTTATGGTATTTTTTTATAAACTGTACTAAAAATGAGTATTGTGTAGCAGTATATGTACATGAAATGATATAGGTAGGTACTATTTTTATTTAGATACTATAGTATGTCAAAAACTTATTGATCTTTATGATAATATGTAGTTGAGGTGTTGGTGTCTATTGTTATTCATTGATTGGCTTATCGTGCTCCATCCACTAGTAACTAATAATGATATCACCTTGTTTTATGTACACTGTCGACTGTTATCTGTGCATTACACAATACTCAGTGAAACAATGTTTTCTCAATTGTTAGTCTATTTTGTTATCATGTACCTACCTATTTAGTAACTCACGTCTTGTTTATGGAAGTTCTCTGTGAGACTAATTAACATTACGACGTAGTATATTAACGTATATAACTAACTACTAAATCATATTTATTAGGATACTTATCTGTCGAAACCACGTATCTTCTATAATACAAATTGTAGTACATACATGTCTTATGTATGAGTAGGTATATCTGCGTGATTCACCAGCTCAATCTGTATTTAACATTTATTATTTACGACATATCTCTGATCGCTTCTCCACGGGATCTTGCGATGTCTAAAATAGACGGAGAAGAAGAAATTGACAGGATACTGGGGATTTATTATTCTTTCGACAATTTGAATGAATTTATGTTATATTTAAATTTATTTATTTCTGCTTGACTGGGTTTTTTTGAACAATTCTTTTCTCAATACTCGTAGGTTTCCTTTTATCCGAAAAATGGAGAAAATGAATGAAAGAATAAAATAAAATGAAATGAATGAAAAGTAACAAAAGGCCCTTATTAACCATAGGTTAATAAGGGCCTTTTGTTACTTTTCTACTGATTTAAAATATTTGTTCTGTGATTCTTATATGTGTTTTATACGATATTTTTCTTAACTCTGTATATTTGATCCCTTAATATATGTATATAATAATAATTATTAATCATAAATGATATCTATGCTGATATAAAGGTAAAATTTGAGGTTGTAAGGGGTTATACTCTTCGTAGGGAAATTCGTATTATTTGTGAGTGTCATAGGCAGATTAACCCAAAAAATGACTAATAGTCTTGGTAGTGGGAAATGTTCTTTTACCAATCAACTAGTTTAGAGCGCCAAATTAAGCAGTTTGGGACTAGATAGCGCTGCTGCTCTGTGATATTTTTACATCTCTTTGCAAACATTTCAGATAAGTAACCTGGTACGCCTAACAATACCACTGCGTAATGTTCACCAAGTTGAAAGAGCAGACTCAGGTGGAACGGGTAGTTCAGGGGATTCGGGCAGCATTCTTATAACTACAGCCCACCACACCAGCTTTCTTTTTGGCAATATATCTGATAGAGAGTTCTTGGTGAACAAAATATCGGAACTGCTAGCGAAGCTCCCAAAGTGAGTCTTAAGTTTCTTTTCCTGCTTTTATAACACAGATTCATTTTTTATTATCATCGACATTATTATATTATATATTTAATTGAATATAATTCATTACATAACTTTTTATAATATTGCGTAGCCTTACGGAATAGATACTCAAATTTTGTTTTACTGATTGCATCATCTCTTGTCATCTTTTTCAGTTCTGAGTGCCTACATCTATCTTAGTAAATATTGTATTTTTGTAAATTTTTCATAAAATACATTTACTAATCGTCATCGGTCTGCTGGAATGTTTTCAGTTTTCATATAACATCTATGCAAATGAAATTTTTAATTATTGTAATAGAACAATAACATTTCTTGTTATTGTTCTATTACAATAATTAAAAATTAATATTAATTAAGTTGCAACCCGTTTAATTGGTATCCATTTTCGCGGAACCTCTTTTACATATCGCAGATCCCTTAGCTGATGCTGGGGTTCTCTACAGACCAACCAACCAACATTAATCTATATTAATATTACAAATGCCCTGCCTGTCTATCTGTTTGTTACCTTTTCGCGATTAAATGGGTAATTAGATCTTAATTAAATTTGACATGTAAATGGATTATAATGTAGGGTTGTCTTATGTTGTCATGTTGCCTTTAACTCCAAAAAAATATTCCCTGAGATAGGCGATGAAATTTTATGCAAGGTGTGGAAAAATGCCTGTGTAATATATAATTTATAAAAACTCCCAATACGATATACTGAGTCAGCTTTGAAATGTTCTACAATAAACTGCATGTATTAATTATTAAAATATAAAAATAACAAATAAACAATGACAACATGTATTGTTCTAACGAACAGAAAACAATAAATATACCTACATTAATCTATTTTACATAATCGTATGTAAAATGAGTATTTGGCTTGACTTTTGCGTTTTAGGGAATTTTTTCAATACCTACAATTTATGTGGACGATAGCGCAATGTTACTAATATTACGCTATTGTCTTTATCGTTATACAGTTCTTTGTATATATTTTTATTAAATGGAGTATTTAAATTGTCATATCTTTTGTTAATAGGACAATAACTATTATAAGTATATATTGCTAGTCTGTGTCGTAGCCTGTTAAATATTTTTCTGAATAGTTCAATAAATAGGTCACGGGTTATCAATACATGCATGTGAAGCTTGCAAGTACCTATTATATGTGAATTATCAATTAAAAAATACATTTTAAATTAATTGAATAGTATAAGAAATTTAGTATTATATTTAGCAATACACTATACAAAAAAAATAAAGGAGAAAGCATTTTAATTTTGATTAGAGAGTGACGGTTCATCGTTGTTAATATCCCAAAAGTTGCAAGTTCCCAACTAGTCGCTAAAAAACTTTGTCTATGTATGTACCTGGCTATATGAATCGCCTCTACTGCAAACATCAATAATAAACTAAAAATTAATCCGAGAGAGTGTTGGCTCCTGCTACAATCATTTTCCAGCGAAATGTCAAGTGCTGCAATCTTCACTACGTCTACATTTAATAAGGCCCCTGGCTATACTATCTAGTAAAATAGTGGTGAAGGAATATGTATTATTATAATTTTGACACATTTATTCAGAATCACGGCGTCTAATCTTGGTTGGTCTGGATAGTACCACATAAAACGTGCCAAATAAGAGTATCTTATATCATTTTTATTATCAATTTCTTATAACAATACTAACCGCCGTTTGTATTATATTTCGGTCTTTGGATGGAGGTATCAATAAAAATACATTATCACATCATTCATTACTAATATTGTTTTATATAATCTTTCTTTGTAACATAGCAGTGATTTACTTCGCTGCAAGGATAATTGTTCGAGAATGCCGCATTCTTTCATTCTTCATGGATCCTTCTACTTGCTGCCTGAATGGAGATTTAACGATACTAACAAAGAAACAAAATTGGGGCATGAAGCATGATATATTTAAGGTTCACTTTGTATTACCAATACTCAATCGTATGATATCTACAGTGATATGTACAGGGAAAAGCCAACTCGCGCTGTGGCGAGGTTCGAAGAAGGCCGTGAGTGGACATCGCAGCCGCCCCTCATGACGCTGTTCAAGACCAACCAAACCTCGTCCATAAAACAGATACAACAGAAAAAGGTACTATATGGATATATATGGATTATTTGCATTTGCTATATGTACTGTTTAAATTAAGTAATATATCTTGCTTAGTCTATGATATCTCGGCAAACCAGAAATTTAACGATTGCTGTGATATGTTTTTAAGAGAAGCAAAGGATTTCCATTAAATTTTTTTTGTATTAGGCATGTGTTAAAATAATCTATTTTTTATTTTTTTCAAATGTGAATGATTAAATGCATTCCTTGACGTTAATTAGTCAATAACTTTAATGATTATATTATTAGTTTTAACATTAAAAATGAATATAAGTATCTCAATTACATATCAATTTCAGGAAAAAAATTGGGAAGATCACATGTCAGAAGTTGGCCGTGGAGTAAGTATGTATCAAACAACGGATGGCAGTGAATTGGTAGTCAAAGGCATACCAGAGTCGCTGCGCGGGGAACTATGGAGTGTGTTCTCTGGGTCTATTCTGCAAAGGATCCAGAATAAGGGCTTGTACGAGAAATTAGTGAATGAAGCACTAGCGTCGAAGAATCCGGTCAATGATGAGATTGAAAGGGACCTGCATAGATCACTGCCGGAACATCCAGCGTTCCAAAATGATGTTGGTTAGTGGAATTTTTATAATACATTCTGCGTAAGAATTAGCGTTACTGTAGTCAGTCACTACCCTGACTTAAAACGAATGTTCAGATGGAACCGATACCAAAATACTTTGTGTCTATTTGTATATTGTATATTTCCGATTGATTCTTCCATGAGAGAAACTTAGGCAATAACTAACGTAATCCGAGAACCGGCGATATACTTGCTTTTTGGTGCTTAGGGTTTAGGTATATGTGTATATTTACTATTGCAGCTTCGGTGGTCTAGCAGTTTAGCACAGCGCCCTACTTCAGATGGTCACGGGTTCTATTCCTCGCACTGTACAAACATTTGTCATCGTATTAATGTTTGTATTGGTCTGCATGCTTCCTATGTTTATTATCTACGTATTTAAGTGTTTGTGTCAGTTGTCTGTAACACAAGCTCAGAATCTTCCGAAATATGTTGCAAGGCTAGACATGACGGCCGATTGGGAGTAATAGATGAATACGAAATAATGGCTCAAGTCAGTGTAATAACGATTTATTTCGTCCCAGACTCACTATCGCTCTGAGTTTACCGCCACAAAGCTGAGATTCATTACGAAATCATTACATTCTAGAAAAATAGTGATTGCTTATGTTCATGCTCAGATAACTACTATGTGTATAATATATTGTATAATTATGTGTAATACATTGTATTTATGCATTGTGTAATGTGTTAGTGTATGTTGCATAATGATTGATTTAAACAAATGTAGGTACATGATTTAAAATTTCTGTTTTCCTTATGTAACTATTTCCTTTTGATAATAGCATATGTTGGTAGTCACTCTATTCTACCTAATTTAAAAATGAATATGTATTTTTGTAAACATGTACAAGCTCATTCGTAAAAAATATAAGCTGAGTTTCTTGTCAATTATTATTAGCTCGAAAGCACTCCGAACTGACGGTATATTTGATAAGAGTCTGTAATAGACCGATATGAACAAAGAAAAAAATGATTTCCTTGTCAATTGTTCAAAAAACTTGGTATTGATGAATTATTATGTGACACATTTGTTTTTATTATCATAAGGTATATCAGCGCTGCGTCGAGTATTATGCGCATACGCACTCAAAAACCCAACTATCGGGTACTGCCAGGCGATGAACATAGTGGCTTCAGTACTCCTCATTTACTGTCCCGAAGAACAAGCATTCTGGCTGCTAGCTACAATATGCGAGACATTATTGCCTGATTATTATAACACTAGAGTTATTGGTGCATTGGTGAGTATTTTTAAGTGGTACATGTATGTAAAAAATGTCCTACGGTTTTACTGATTCGTTACAACGCCGTCTGTGAAGGTATCTGTCTTTTTTACTTCGGCCGCCAAGCATATGAGAAAAATTGAAATTGCCATTCCAGTTACTAAAACGTGTAATACAGCTTTTCTATGTATAACACTATTTCCCAATTGATAAGTAGCAGTATTAACAATCACCCAGAAATAGGTATTGATTTTTATATTATTAATACGATGTAGAAATGTTTAATTTTATTACATATTCTTTATTACTATAATTATACTTTTGCATAGTAAATCTACTTACTTTATGAAATACGAATAAGTGTTGCTTTGCCCATGATTTTCTAAAAGTTGTATCCAAAATGAAATGAATTGCTTCAGAAAAAAATTTTGACTTGTAAATTGCAGGTGGACCAAGGTGTACTGGAAGAACTGGCGAAGAAACACCTGCCGGAACTCCATGCCAAGTTGGATGAACTTGGAGTGATGAAGATGATATCTCTGTCGTGGTTCCTTACGTTATTTATCAGTGTTATGTCGTACGAATGTGCCGTTAACGTCATGGACTGTTTCTTTTATGATGGTGCTAAGGTCATATTTCAGGTAAAAGACATATTTAAATCGTATTATTAGGTCCTAACATATGAAATTGGCGTTTTGTCGTAATATATACTAGTTGATTAAAACACCTTCGTCAGGTTTGTGTATCACGTTTACCCATTTTGCAACATTTCATTGCAACTCCGCTCCTATTGATCGTATCGATGTTATATAGCCTTTCTCGAAATATATATATATATATATATAAATAATATTACAATACCCCTTAACTTGCAAATTTTACTTTAGAATAATAGTATAATGTATTTTTAATTATAAATAAGGTATACAAAATGTGTGCTTAGTGGTTTTTGTGTTTATTGGAACATGCCCTTTTGATGTGTAAAACATAATATAAATTAAAAATGACCCGGGTTATTGGGATATATTTATCGAGTCATTTCTAATTTACATCTATGATTGGGTCTGCTTTAGACGGGGGTTGCTATTCTAATTTAATTTTGTGTTGAAAATTTTCATGAAATACTTGTCTATTTAGATATTTTATCAATTGTTGTTACCGAAGTAATGAAAATAATGTTTAATTTACAGGTAACACTTACAATTTTAGAAATAAACAAAGAAAATTTACTGAAATGCACAGAAGATGGTCAGGCAATGCAGATACTTAGTGATTATCTAGAAGGCATATATAACGATGAAGCTATGGCTTTGTCTACGGAACCACGCACTGCCAAGCGGGTAAGACTATTTAGGACAAGTCAAATGCTTTATATTATTTTTATTAAAAACTAAATGAGTCTATTAAGAAAGCAAATAATAGCATTATTAGTTAATAACAATATAATGTACAATCAGCTTAAAGACATAACCTACTTAGCACTAGCTAACACGTGGACTGCACGTCTGCACCAAATGCTTGCAAGTAGTGTTAGAAATGTCTAAGTTGATTTGCCTTAAGAAGGAATAGATATATATGGCGTTGTTACAAAATCTCTATTTGTTTACAGACTATAAAAATACAAGATCTCGTGTACCAATCTTATCGAACCTTTGGAGGAAAAGTTACAAGTGAGTGCATTGAGCACTTGGGCCTGACCCACAGACTGAGAGTGGTCAGACAGTTAGAAGACAGCCTCGAGAGAAATACGTTGCGTGCGCTTCAGCAGGATAAGCTTCTCGAGCTGAATGAGCTACAGGTATGTTTTAATCATCGAACCAAAGAGATAGATTGTTTAAAGTTTAGCGTATATGTGTGTTTGTCTGTGGTTTGTTGTTTGAAAGCTGATTTGATTGAGTTGATTCTTTTATACAATTTAATTGAAGTTATGTATTTTATTTGGAGGTTACTTAAGTTTTGTAATTATTTTATGTTGTCCGTTGACCGTCGCCTTAATTATGTTAATCAATATTGCGTATGTATATATGACCAGTAGTACGGATAATTACAACATGCATTTTACCACCACTACTGGTTATTGTTTCGACAACATTCGGCCATTGAGCCAGCAACAGATTGAAGTCACCAAATTTCTCTCCTAGTTCTCAAAATAGTTTAAAGCTTCTAAAACGGAATGTGGATGATTTTTTTAATGTAGATAATGGAATGGTGCACACGCTTGCGCTAACGGTTTACGCTGGCGGGGCACCAATGAAGTTTGAGCATTAGGTCAGGTCCTGACCTAACCTGACAAGGTACATTTGTGGTCGTTTATTGTGGCTTGAACAGTTGACAATACCCCTGCCTACCCATATGGAACACCGATAATGACATTAAAAATGTTTTAGCTCAATAATTATTACTAACTGTCTATTACAGGAATTATTAAGTGCTATCCGGGAAGAACTACTATGGGCTCAGCGCGTCCCGTGCGAGCGGCTCGAAGCACCGTACGAGGCGTATCGACTCGATTACGCCCAGTTTAAGACATTGTTCATGGCACTTTCGCCTTGGGCCAAGGGATATATGGGCGAGATTATCACAGCCAGGATATTTAAGGTACGATTGAATTTTTAATATAATTTGTAATTTACTAATTCACTGTCAACATTGTATATTATCATAGAACTTAAACAATTTTTCGTACTCCCGCATATTTATTTTATATTTAGAATTTTTTTTATGTTCATTTTTTATGATCCCACTCTAAAAAATACATACCTCTTCATCACTTTATTAACCACAATTATTTTATTCTGATGTACTTACTTTAATTCGGCCTCCGTGGTCCAGCGGCTTAGCACACCGCCTTACTTCCAATCGTCTGGTGTGGTCTGAGTGTTTTCTATATATATTCTAATGCTATTAGTCGCAGTTAGCCTTTACAGCTTCACCAAACACGGGGAAGGATTTATGGAACGGCTGAAGACCAACTCCCGCCTGACGGATACGGCATTAGTCTGAGGGCACCACAAAGGGTTCGAACCTCGGCTCAGGCCGTCGTAAATCAGCCGCCCGATCGATTGGCGCGGTATGTGTCTGAGGTCGTCGCGTTCGCCGGCGAGGAGGGCGTCGTGAGTGTTAAGTTAGTTAATGTGTGGTGGGGACGGTCGCAGGTGGTGCAAGGGGAGTCGTCGGGGCAGGCGAGCGCGCGCGGGCTGAGCGTGGCGGTGGGCGCGAGCGCGCGCGGCGAGCCGGCGCGGCGGCTGCGGCTGCTGTACTGCGCGCACGCGCCGCCGCTCCTCGCGCCGGCCGACCTCCCGCGGTACACCACCACCGGGGAGGAGCTCGCCGCAGACGCCATACACTTCTTCGACAGGTCTGCGATCACGCTTTTATTTCGTTTAACATTTACCTGGGGTTGTTGAATCCATGCCGGAGCAATAGGGGGGGTGCAGAAGACCAGTACCGTCAGTCAGATGATACTTTGTATTACAATGCCAACCAGAACCGCGCCGCCCTGTGTGCGTTTGCGTGGGAAGCAAATATGGGCGCCGGATGATGCCAGCGTAGAAAAAGATTTTTTTATGACGTATTTGTCGTAGTGGAGTCATCAATGAATAGGGTACCTACTTGTTGATGACTGCAAACTGAACATAACGTAAAAAGAACTTTTGCCTCAAAAAATATGCAGTATAACACTCAAGTATGACTGTTGGTACAGGTGATTGTAATTTTTTTAAACATGAACAGAAGAGCGATACAAATATTCCGTTTGACCAAATCACAAAAAAAATAACAGCACCTTTTAAAATGTTCACTAACACCATCTGGCGACAACAGTCGAAGGTGTTAATTACATGGTTACGCATTTTTATTCTCTGATTTATACAGTATTTTTTATATTTCAGTATGGACAATCTTTCCCCTACCGATTCAGCTTCGTCGCCATCATTGCAACATTCTGTGAGCGACGTTTGCTGTGACGGTGATCAAATGGACAAATCTGGTGAAAGTAGTTCAAGTCAATCCGGTGAGTTATCATCTCTACCAGAATCTTCATTACAATTTCAAATAATAGTTAATCACGGAAATAGGAATTCAACTATATCATTTATTTTTCTTTATGTTTATTTTAAGCCACACTTGTCCTAATCGTGATGATATAAACACTAAAAACATGTACATATCACCGCTCTGATGGATCCTCCGTTCAAACCAAACGGGGATCGAAATTATCACATTCTGAACCGAGTGTCTAACCGTAGCGGTGTCCTCAGACTAAAAGCGTATCAGCATTTTTATGATTTATTTATTCAGAGTAGTCCCAAAAAATTTTACATATCATTAGTATTTCGTACATGAGTGTACTTGTGTTCTTTTTTTCGAACTATTCTAACGCCGTGCGCAGATGTTCTTTACAACTACTCCAAGATATTACAATAGTTCGAAAAAAAGAAACGTTATAACTTAACCTTTCCCCATATGACGAGAGAAGCGATGACCTAATAACTGTGGTGGTGCGTTACTCAGCGGCTGCGAGTGCGGTGCGCGCGTTCGCTGTGGGCGGGGCGGCGGGGGCGGGGGCGGGGGCGGCGCCCGGCACCCCGGGCTGCGGGCCGGGCGCGGCGCCGCCGCTGCCCCGGGACCACTTCCTGCAGCTGCTGGCGGCGCTGCACGACCTCACGCAGCACGACCCGCATCTCTACGACGCCGTCGTGCGAGCAGGTACATATTCTTCGGTACAGTTTACTTGCCTAGTTTTATTCACTTTGTTTTATTAATGTTTTACTCCCTTATTGCACCTTCATAAATACGACTATACTCTGCGAGTTTTTGTATCTTAAAAAAATACATAAGAAAACAAAATATTCATAATATCTATAAAAAATAAGCAAAAGGAAATAGTAAATAGAATACCTGTAAAATGAAGACAATATCTGCAGGAGAAAAAACAGAAAGTGGTGAATAGCGCATGAGTGGAACGAAATAAACAAAAATAATAATGGTAATATATAAAATATATAGTATAGTAAAACAATAAATAGTTTTGAGTTTCATCTACAGGAACTCTACTACTACAATTAGGAGAATTAAACTACAGGCCTGAACTGGACAGAGAAGTGTCTCAAGATAGCCTCTACCTGGCCGCTGCCGAGAAACAGTCTATTGTAAGTAGACTTTTTGTTACAATGCTTAAAGTTAAGAGTCCAAATTAGGATAGCAATTTTATCAGTACTATTAGATAGATATTTTGGTAAGAAAATGTACATCTATAATAGCCTAGCGTGTTATTAGCTCGTAACATAAAATGAATCTATGTTAAAAATATTGTATTTCTTTCTAAAAACGATACCTGATTAACACGAAACATTTTATTACCATAAAATTGAATAAGGTCAAACGTATAGCTAGCTAAAAATATATTTTTAGAAGATTTTCTCGTCTTTTTTTTTATTATGATGATTCTTAGAGATGTTCTTAGAAATGTAGGTAAGGCACTAGTTTGTTTTGCTCTAGGTGTAAATTGTGTTTAAAAACTTACGTTATTGTAGGTTGATCCTAACGGTAACATGACCGAACTTGACCAAGATACAGCACAGTCATCGCCGACAAAAGAAAATGAACCCTCAACAGATGGCGAATGGTCTATAACGTTCGAGCAATTCCTAGCCACCATGCTCGCACAGGACCCCATAGAGAATTTCTTCAGCGAGCAGGTACCCATTCTACCTCAATTGGAAGCTTTAAGGCAAAGGAACAGATAGCAATCTGTATTATAGCTGAAGGCGGAAATCGCTCGATTAATGGGAACTTGCGTGTAGATCCTAAATATAAAGATAGGTTTGTAAAGTGTGTATATAGTTAAATCGGGATAAATATATTGATGATTCAACTAATTTAATGTGTTACACATGTAAAGTCTATGGTTAAAGGCTTTTTATATCAGATGCTAAAATAGTTCTAAATAGCAAACTCCCCAACAATTGATAACATTTGTTAGTGCACCGCCAACAATTTTACTCTGTACCGCTCATGGTTGACTGGCAGATAACGCCGCAAGGTGTTAAAATCTGTCATACGAATATTTTATTTTTGTGCATTGAAGTTAAATAAATAAATAACTGGTGATATCAGATTTATATTGATGAAGCTTACAATTGAAAAATATAAATGTATTTCAACTTTATGTACTTACAGAATATTGATTTTGGTCTGGACTTAGACGATTGTGATTTAGTTTTGAATTTTAATGGCCATTTCGAGATGCTGCCTGTAATATTTACGCCAGGTATACATTTCATTAATTAATGTGTATAAGTGCCTATAACATCTATGTAATGAAAATTAATAAATACATTCTAATAATATTACGAGGTATTGAACATTTGTTTGTACCAAAATAATTTTGCAAATTATTATATGTACATGCTTCTACAAAATTATCTGCATTCCTTGCTACAGGCCAGTTTTAGTAAACTACAATGATTAAAGATCTTCTAAGACTTCATATCTTGTTACTGAAATATGATAAAAATTTATGTTACACAGTAGTTCTGAACTTATTTTTATGAATCTGTTCTGACTATAGCTTGCTACTTGAATAAAATTGATCTTATATGTAAGTGTGAAACTTGTACAATAGTATTTTTATGTGTTATAATTGTACAGGTTTTCATTTCAGCCAATATGTGTAACCTATTACACTATTTATAATGTTATACATTTTATTTTTTTAATTTAAATGTGTGAGAAAATACTTACGTCATTATATCTTTATATTATCATATATCAATATATAACATTTATTAAAAAATTGTGCGATAGAGTACATTCCAAATTATATTTTTATGGCCTAGTATTTAAGTTTGTTTTTGTTACTTATAATCAAAATAAAATCTAACGTAACTTAAGGTATTCAAAGCACGTAGCCATACTAGTTTAATTATCTTCTAGCTAATAAGAAATTATCTATCATTAAGAAATTTAGATGATAAAGGCTGTATTCATTAGTATAGTACAAAATAAAATTCCTGATTTGTATAATCAATTATGGTATGCTCTGATAAAGTATAATATAGTTTAATAAAGATAACTCTATCAAAAATGCATGATTTAATCAATACGTTTTAGAAATTGTATAGATGGTCCATTTTGCGTTTTTTGAAATGTCTGAAAATAAGTAATTATTATACTTATAATGCAGGAATATAACAATATAAAAATATATCTTCATCCTGTTTAACAAAGGCATATAAAAATCTATATACTATACTTTTCCTACATTGTAGTATAAGTCATATGTAATCCACCATTTAATCTTTTTAATTTTAAGTCCTAAGTATTTAAAATACATACCTACTAATTTTATAAATACGAAACTGTGTAGTCACGCTGATGGTCTCGCGCTGGTAATCGATTAGTAAATATTAGGTTTCCAATCTATATCCTAGCCCCGGATCCTTTGGCCCACAAAAGGAGGCCAATGTCCCGGGCTACAAGTTCTGGAGGCGGCAAATTCGAAATTGGCAGATGAATACACATCTCAATTGTTTGTGTTCAATATATTTGAAAATACTGTAACGGTTAAAAACGCCACAATTATTAATAAAAAGAAGTTGGCCGGAGGGAAGGGGGGTGGGAGTCCTTGGGGCTTCGTTTTTAAGTTTTTGCACCGCCTCCAAAAAGTGAAGCTGGACCCAGGGGCTGCTATATCCTTTACGTATTAATAAATTTGTGAAATGAATCACATTACCTATATTTCTTTTTTTAGAACCTACTAATAAAATATATCATTACAACCATCTATCTGGCCTTTATATAAATTTGTGTAGTTTTGACAAATAGGTAAGAATATAGCGCTTTTGATGTACGTATTATTGGTGCTTTCGAATATAATAGTATGCTTAATATATTTAATTTGAGGATAGAATATGAAAGCAATACAGTTGATATCCATATCCAACATTAGTAACGAATAATAAACTATGTAAATGTACAAATATTGTCGGATAATATTCTCGGTTTTTGATGGAAGTATTTTATTAGACAAACCTACTCGGCGCTCAAAAATCTAAGTATGTTTATAAAAAATGGTACACAAATTTAGATAATCATGACCTTTTAATCTAAAATTGTTATATACTTATAGTTACTGTGTCGCTACGTTATAGGTATTCAAAATATCTAAATAATACAATATATAATTTTTGTCTGTCTGTATGTTTGTAAAAGAACTTCGACTTAATACAATATTGACAACTTCCTAGATGTGGGTATATCTTAAAATACACACTCCATTTTACTACAGGAAAATATTTTATTACGTGCGAAGCAAATGTGTTTTACTATATCAGCGTATTAGAACATAATGTACATACAAACAATATGATATATTAACAATTATTCAACATATGCTTAATGTCTGTTTGCTCTAAATATTTTGTTTTCATTACTAGATAACACTACCAATAAACCGGTTTAAAACATTTGTAGTAGAGTCATAAAAGCGTGCTGCTTGTAAACGTAAAATCTACTTGGATTTGTGTGGAATTTGTTAAACCTACAATGAAAATCACAGGCAGTTTTTGTATATTCATTTACCATATTTTAAATATGAGTATATTTTTATACATTTGTTTTATATTAAACGTCTACAAAGCATATCTCTCTTTATTTTCATTTATTATAACTGAATTGCCGTCTCCAGGGTTTTATTTAAACCATCTGAAGTATCAGAAATCTTGAGCGTCCTCAGTGCTGAAATGTAGATATAGGCATTATGTACGTACACAGTAATAATATAAAATTGATATGTAAACTGTAAACAATTTGAACTTAGATAAGAGGAATGTCACTTTATTCTTTCTAATTACCGTTATTATTTGTCTAAAGTTGGATAATGGATATCTGTAGATAATGTATACATAACTATGTATATAATAGCGTAGCACAGATGCATTAATATTTTTGTATACACTGACAATGAGAGTTACGCTGTTATTTTTATATAATGCATTTATTTTTATATGCTTACGTCTATTATGTGTACGATAACAATAATTGATTTGTTATACCTACTGTGTCATTATTGGATTTCGCAATGTTTGTTAGAAGTAGTTGGCAATGTGTAGTACAGTTAACTTCATAAAAATATAAATCAATCATATTCAAATTTTGAATAATATATTTTCTTGCAAAATAATCAATAGTTAGAAAGTGGTAACTGATTATTTAAAATGCTACATAAACATGGAAAAGGATATAAAATATATTGCGATATCTAAGGTAATTCATGCTCTTCACCATTTTATTGTTTGTAATAATTTAGACGAGAACCTTTATATACGGCGATTCATTAATGACATATAAAATTGTAGCGAACTGTACTGGTAGTATCTATTTTAAATTTTTGAGAGGTTTTAGTCCCTTTTAAGAAATATTGATCTCATATACATATTTGCAGTACAGTTCTTCTTGATATTAATGAGAAACGAACTTCTTAGCATTCCATCGGATCACCGTGCGGATGTCGGGTCCATCGTGTGGTATAGAGCGAAACTCTGAGCAGTTCCCGAGACTTTTGCCCGAGTGTAGATATAAGGGACCCTTTGCCGACGTATAAAAAGGTGTAAAAAAAGCTTACCAATATATTGTTAAAATTTAAAAAATAGATTTAACCGTTACCTTCATATATTGTGTAACGAAGCAAGGCGATTATATGTCGTCATGTAACTGAGAACTAATTCATTATCTGGTCACACTAATTTATGATGATTGACGTCAGAATGAGATTTCCAATTAATACCGAAGAAATATATAGTTACCTACGACTCCTCAACCGACCTACATATATTTATATAGATAAGGTATAATATGGAAATTTATTAATATATAAATACAAACTAACTGCTATCTGAATCGGCCAATGAACTTTTGTTTAGGTGTAGAATTTAAACTATTGTTTAATTTAATCATCTAACCTTAAATATTTTTAAACTACATAGGTACATTTTACAAATATTTTGTTTAGATAAATATATATAGTATGTATTCAGAATTTGATATCAAAATCTGAAGTTGTTTTAACTAGGAATATTGTATAACTTTTGCATTTTAATTATTTGTACTTTTAGTGATTATAGCTTTTTACTTATTTAATAGCTTATCAGCTTCAATTTGTCAATATTGTGTTAACAAGTGTGTATGAACAGTACCTACAGTTTCCAAATAAAGTTTTTGTTTGACGTTATACCAATGCTTTTTATTGTTATTTGATTATACCTATAAGACTTCACCCTGAATCACTCGTATGTATTGCTAGAAACAGCATTAAAATCGTTGTGTTAGTTTAAAAGATCTAAGCGAACAGATAGCGTACTTCATTTTATACTATATAAAGATACTCTCACAGAATTGTTTTCAATTAGAGATTCCCTGTCACAATATTGTTATTTTATCTTCAGATTATATTGTATGTATATTTTTATCAATTCTTTACAAGAAACAATAAAAATAGGAAATGTATTTAATGTACATATTTATAAATGAACAATTAAACCAATAAGACACAGAAACCAAATGTAAAATTAATTACTTTATTATTAAACAAACTTAACACAAATTATATAGTTGAAATTTAATGATAGTTATAAAAGTGATAGAAACTGTTATTGTGTAAATTTCAACGTCCAAGCATTATTAGATTTAACAGTAGATTTATCTGGTAAGTCGATGCGAGCCAGTCCATAACTGATATGCCACTGGAAAAGAAAGAAGTGAATTAAGAAATGGTAATTTCCTATAGGTATCTACTACGGGTGGGTGATTTAGTGTTATTATTACAGCTAACAACACTGCAAATCTGTTTACTCGGTGTACTATTTACCTAATAGGCAGCTGCGATCAGTAGCTCACTTTAGCTAGTTAATAAATTAACTTTCCTAAATAACAATATTTGGATTTAATGTATATGACATCAAATTCTTATTTGATACAAACATTGATTGATGCCTAAAGGAAAAAGAGATTACGAAGAAATTTCACGTAGGGGAAAACTCGCTGTTCCCCATTTTTCTATTACTACTACTCAAACGTAGAATTATATAATCTGTAGTCACTAAACACTACAAACATTTAATTAGTTCTAAATCAAAATTCTCATGTATGATTATAGTCATATACATTTAAGTTTATTGGAACTTTTTCTATTTTATTGACAGCTCTACTTACATTTAAATCTTCATCATTGCCCAGTAACTTGACTTTAAACGTTCCAGAGTGCAGGTAAGTAGCCATGTATCTAAGGCTCAGAACGTTATTAGTCGGCCATTTTAGGAATATTGCGTATATAGCTGTGACGGTGTCAAATCTTGTTGGTATCTGCGTTGGTTGCATTACGTTGTGTTCGGTCTTCGTGCAGGTGTACCAGATATCGCCAGCAGCGGTGTCGTTTTGGTGCAGCCAAGGCGATGTGGAGTAAATTGCTTCTCCGTTCACTTCCAGCCACTCCCCAAGTGCAAGTAATCGTTCTTCAAATATGGGAGCTATTGTGCCTTCTTTTGTAGGGCCCACGTTAATGAGAGCATTTCCTGTAAGTTAGAAAATAGATAATGTAGGGGAACAGAGGGTGTTTTAATGACGAGGATCGGTGACTGTTTTGTAATGTACCATGTCCGCTTGAATTCGATACGGTCCATCCATAGATACCATCGTATTGAATTCTTGAAGAATTCGCTAGGGTACGCTAACGGGCATCCTTAACTGATGCCTACTAGCGCATATCGTCGCGCCGTCGCATTGGTGCAAGCTGGAGCACAATTTCATCATCATTCGTAAAATATGCAAGACTACTTTTGGTAAAGATATTTTTTTTAAAATAGAATATGTTAGATATAATTATATAAATTTCAGTAACTTTAAGAAATTGAAAACGTAAGACAACAATTAAAATGTATGTCATTTTAAATGTTGGGGATAACGGTTTGATTTATTTAAAACGATCTTTATAGGTCCATAGTTATAGATAAGCACAAGAAAGTGTTATACATCGATAGTATTGAAATATCTAATAATACCTCCACAGCTGATCGTAGATACAACTTCAGTGAGCAGTTGGTTGATAGAGAGGATCTGTTTCAAATTCATGTTCCTCCTGTATCCCCAGGAAACCGAGTCCATTGTGAAAGCGTTCTCCCATTTGTGATTTTGAAGTTTTCCTAGAGATATTATTTTAGATATATAGACAAATTCAACAAACACATAGCATAATTCAGAAAAAATAAATGGAGATACAAATAAAAGATTTTACATTTATTTTTTCTGAACGGATTTATGCGCCGTAAAGGTGAAGAGGCTACCAACTTAGCATAAAGCTAGAGATAAATCTGCAGCGCTAATATTCTGTTGGCACCTTGATTTACTATTTTGAAGTAATTATATTATTGCTTATGTGGTATTTTATTAACAATAAAATAGCAACATGGTTTTTATATAACAGCGATGCCAAACAAGCGGACATCAGACAGTCACTGAGAGTAATGAGGTAGGTGAAGAGGTAAGTGACAAATGTCTTATCACATATAAGACATTTGTCAACACAATCACGGACTTGACGTTATCGTATGACGTGGCATTGTAAATCTGAAGACTAAGATACCATTCCTATTTACCCTACAGGTAATAGCTTAACCCTTTAACCGAAACCCATCTTATGATAAGCAGCTTGGCGGCTGAAATAGGACACATACGACTTTGTCTACCTCTGTGAAATCGTTGGACTTCTTTAGATGGTATAAAATGAAGTCGCCGCCGCTGTCTGTTCGCTTATATATTTTAAACTAGCTTTTGCCCGCGGCTTCGCTCGCTTTAATTTATCCCATTAGGGAAGGAATTTATCAAAATCCTTAGGGGATGCCTACGTCATAGTAGCTTTATGCATGCAAAGTCTCAACCCGATCGGTTTAAAATTAACAAAGTTTCATACAAACTTTCATCCCCTTGGGGGTAGAATAAATCAAAATAGTTTAGCTGAAAATAAGCCCGATCCGTCCAGTGGTTTGGGCTGTGCGTTGATAGATCACTATGTCAGTCACCTTTGAGTTATATATGTTAGAATTCACATTATTATTGTAGAAAAAATCCGATATTTTAAAAATATATTAAAAGAAGGTAGTTTGTTTTTAGTACTAATGAAGTACCCAATGTAAGGATTATTACGAATATTGTAAATAGCGCCATCTAGTATTTATAGACCAACCTACTACACTGACTTTGGTCTATAAATACGGAGGGCGGTAGTTGAATAATCCTCTTTCGTTGCATGAGCCGCGGCATTTAGTCGACGAGCGCAGAGTGTGCCAGTTGTGTTTTGGATATTAAAGTGAATTGTATTAGCAATGGGTTTATCCCGGTCTTAGTTGGGCCTGGGGGGAAGCTGCAAGTAGTGAAGGTGAGTGTTAATGCATTCTAAAAGGGCCTTTTAAACCTACTATAAATAGTGCTTCTTACATATATATTTAGATTTAAATTACGCAACGGACTTTAATATAGTTTTCCGTAATAAATAGTGATTCAAGAGGAAGGTTTATATGTATAATACTTTAGTGTAATAGCATAGAAGAAGCCGGGAAATAAAAAGATGTGTAATGCATCCGTTGCCAAGCCGGGACGGGTCGCTAGTAATGTATAAAATAGCGCTATACTTGCCAGGATTATATCGGTCTGCGCAGTTATAGAAATCACCATGTTTGCACGGTATATCAATACCCCATCTATCATTGACCACTATTTCATCTTTCACTGGACTATCATTATACAACCAGGCTAGGAGATCTGTTGAATTCCAATAAGTGTCGTACGCTTCCCAGTCGCCATCAGACCATAAAATAGAAGGCTGGTAATCGTTAACAAGCTGTTTTATATCCGGCCATAGTTTTGTTTCAGGGTATGTACGCGTGGTGAAATTAGTCTTCTTATCTTCTTCATAAATCGGATTGTACCACTCGTATAATGAATGGTAAACACCGAATTTTAATCCTTTAGCTCTCACGCTCTTGGCCAAGTCTCCAACGAGGTCACGTTTGGGACCAACTTCCACTGCGTTCCAACTGAAGGAGCGCTTTGATGGAAATAGAGTGAAACCTTCGTGGTGTTTACTTGTAAGGACTATGTACCTGAACAGGAAATGAGAGTTAAAATAACATTTAGAGATTTATATATATCCATAGTTAAGTTTGTTGGTTCGTGAGGTGTAAGCCTGTACATAATGTGCCTACTGAACTGATTTCGAGAATGTTTTTACTAATAGAAAGCCACGTTATTGTGTCAAAAGCTACATAACACTGAACGCTACGATCAGTAGAATCGGACCTGCAATGACAAATATTAACGAAAAATGTGACATAGTAAAAGAAGTCTATAGATATATATCTACATATTATCTAGCAACATACAACAAAAAAATTACTAGCTGAAGCGATTGAAGTACCTACATGAAATGAAAAAAATATTATCCGATTGTTAGAATTTTTCTGTTTGTTTATTTGTGCGCACCGATTTCAGAAATAACTTAACCTATTTGAGTGCGGTATTCATTAATGTAAGCTTCACTACTATTTGTTTTATTGCAATTGATTTACAAACAAAAAAGTTAAATCTTTTCGTATCAAGTGCGGAATCAGCTGGTAAGATATTATTTCGAATAAGGTTGTTATTACTAGATATTATTTCTTATGTATCTTACTATATTTATAATATGGGCCATGTAGCCTGAATTAAATAAAATAAATAAAAATAAAGATAGCTCGTACTGAATGAAATATAAGTATGTAGGCACCTACATACCTATTGCTTAATTGCACGTTCCATTATTGTCAATAACAACAAATGCGATACTTATATTTGTTTATTACGATACTTATTATTTAATGTGGTTACCTTATCCTTCAATTAAGTAGGTAGGTAGGCAGGTACTTCTACTTCTAGTATCTACTTAGTATAAGTAGGTACCTTACCTATCGACAATATTTACAATTTATATCTACTCCTGAACGAGCACTCCTTGTAGGGACTGGTCTACCCAAGTACCTAGCTATTACGTTTATTTACTTCGTCAATCCAGCTAAGTAGTTGACAGTTTACATTCACAGAAAATCTTGACTATGTAAATACCTACTGAATAACCGTTTGTTGCTCTTTCTTCTTGTGATGAGTCTGCTTTCCGAATGAGCAGTAGAATAAAAAACTACTCTATGACCATTCAAACGTGCTCATTTCAAGTTTATCTGAATAAGATTATTGCTATTAAAATCACAGGAATAATAAATATAGATAGGTAATGCTCGTAAAATATAATACATACTTTACATAGGTTTATAGTACCTATGTACTATAAACCTATGTAATAATACTGTTCAGACTGAAACTGGTTTCTGATAAGCAACTTACTTCGCTCCTGATTTCACGAATAGGTCTGCGAAACTCTGCGGGTCAAAGAACTCCGCTTTAAACATAGGCGCGAACTCCTGATAAGTGAACTCGGGTGGATAGTTTTTTTTCATGAATTCTTCTATCGATTTTGAACCACCTAAAATAGTAGAATAAAACGGAACAGGTACTTGAAATATTTATATCTGAATAAGTAGTCTGGTAGAGTCAAAAGGAGAGCGATATATGTACATACCTATAGCTAGTTGCTCCAAGAATAGTAAAAAGAGAGCAGTAGATTTATTATAAGAGATTAGATAATATAACTGACTAAATAAGTAGGTAAATAGGTAAATCCAAAACTGTTATTCAAAAATATATAAATTACTTTCTAAAAATGTATACAATAAATCTAATTACCACTTGTAAATAGATACTTATAATATAAATAGGCGCAGTAAACAAGTGGTTAAGTCAGAATCGGTTATTCGCCTTCCGTTCGAGTTCCGTAGATACGTAGGTATTTATTGGATCAATAATGATGATATACATAGGTATGTACATGCAGATAAATAAAGTAATTACATGTCAAACATAAACATTTTATAGAAGTACATACTACTTTAGTAAATATAAATTCTCTTTAATAATATCTAAATTCAGGTCGATAAGTACTCAATCATTATTACCTTTCCAGTTGCTCCAGAACCATTCAGATCCATACCCTGGCACGCAGTACACGCCCCAATGTAGGAAAATGCCTATTTTTGCCTTATCATACCATTCTGGCAGTGGACGAGTGTCCAAACTTTTCCAATTTGGACTATACTTTTTTGTATTTTTATTATTAATTGCAAAGTTCCGTCCTTTTCTGTAATCTATTCGACAATTCACAACACAAAAACAGATAAACAGTAGTATTAACTTCATATTCATAATATATTAGCGCAGCTAAAGTCTGTTTATTTCATATTTATCACAACAATAAAAAAAATAACCTCAAATTAGACAAGTTACCGTCCCGCCGGCACTCTGCCGTCTAATCTGACAGTTCCCTACATACAAGGTAAACGCTATCAAAATAACCTTCGTTTGTTATGCTTCAAATTAGTTCAAATAATGTCTATAACAATAATAATTATTTGGGTTAGGTATTACATTGTTATAATATGCAATCAAATGCCTAAAGTTCTTGTAGACATTTATTTTGATGTTTCCTTACACATGAGATTATTTTAGTGGTTTGGTATCATTTAAATAGTAATATTAGTACTAGTAGTATTTATAAAATGGAAGGTTGATTCAAAAGAACTTGAAATATACAGTTTTACAAAATAGAATATTAAAAATCTTTGCTAAAATAATAATACCAATATTTTAGCGAATTCGATTACCCAGTCGATTGCAGAAGAATCATCAGGTCATACTTGCCTAAGATAACGCCTATCCTTATGTAAAATATACAGAATTGACTTTATTATTCTAAAGATTACTACTATACTATTACTACTACTATTACTCTAGATTGATATTATTATTCTAAAATGTTACTGTTATAGTCCGTGAGAGTTTTGTCGTCGATTATTTCCTCACGCTCGAAAACTTTGAATATAAGCTCGAAATAGTTAATAATATAGTATTATTACGCAATTAATAAAATAGTATTATTAGTGAAAGTTGGATCTGAGGGTAGGTTGGTCATCTTGACCTCTTCCTGGGTCGCGTGTCTATAATTGATGCAGAAATAGTTGCAGAGGTAAAAAGAAATGTAATACAGTACAGGTACACGTCGTTTATTTTTTTATAACATCTGCTTAACAATTAAAATACAACTTATTGTACACATAATGAGATCACAATAATACACGCTGTATTAATTAATATACAAAATATTACTTATCAAAATTTAATAATCATTTATTAGGCTGATTGCAAAATAAATAATTTAGCATTTTTTATAAACTTAATTGTATTATAATACAGACACATAATACCTAATGATAAATTATCTATACCTAGCTACATGTCATATTACTAGTTCATATCTGTACTTCACTTTCAGTTTCCAAGTCAAGTGATTATTTAATGAAAATAATTGTTATTTTGTTGACTAGATTCGTTCGGTGGCTGTATTTATTATATATAAGTATATATATATTCATTATAAACACATCATATAATTTCACTATTGTATCCTCTATGGCTACAACTTGGAATGAGCAGCATATAATTTTGATTCTTGTACAGATCATATTTTATATTTTGTATAAAACCAAAGAACTATTTTAATCCAGTAGTATTAAAGTCTTAGTTTAAATAATGGTCAAATCTTTGTTAATTAAATATAGAATTTACAAACATGTACATTATATTGAAATGTTAATTTCTTTTTCTGCAAAAGGCATATTTTTAATAATAAATCTTGTCATGCCCCTCTATTAAAATAAGTAAAATATAATAACATAATACAGATTCTTAAATATGTGTTGAAAAACTGAATATGTAAAAAAATACCCAGGCATACTGGTCAAGAAACTTTTTAAAAATAACTGTAAATACCAAATTGTCGATCAGTAAATATTGTACAGATTACTAAAATTTACTTAGTTACTTAAGTTTTTTTACTGAAGTATAAAATATAATGTCATACAAATGTATAATTAAGTTTTATGTTAACTTAGTACCTACTTAGCTTAGTACAATTGCAGTTAAATAAATATAGTAGAACTAAGTTTACATTTTATCACTTTCACAATCATTACAGTTAAAGTAAATGCTTTCAATATCATGGCAAAATATTAATTCAGGTTCATTAAATGTTTTAAGTCTTTTGCTAATACGTAAATAAAATAAATATTGTCTTAAATGTAATAAATCCATTTATCCAGGTATGTACATGGACATACCTACTACAGTTTAAAAAATAAAGTACAATTATGAGATTAACTCTAGTTAAAATTTAATTATTATGAATATTTGATTAATGCTAGATCTCTACTTAACTATATGACTGATTTTTGAAATACTAAAAATAGGCAGTTCATTTTTTTATTAATCTAGGACTTAGATATGTAAGTCTTAACCAGTTTAATCTGTAATGTCTTTCCACAGTTACTATTTATTCATATAAGTATTATATTATAGTAAGATATTTTCAATACCTATGCTCATTTTTTAAAGGAAAATATGCCATGAGTACTACTCCTTATTGTTTTCAGACATAAGCAGTTTTTTTATATTTATGGTATAAGTTTTGTTTTTACAATCTGCACATTAAAAACTAAGTTTTCATGGCTAGAAAATACTATATATATATATATAAAACTTATAACTAGCTTATAGTATATGTATTAGTTTTATCCACTTCCTGGTCAGGAAGTGGATGGCATTGCTATTAGGTATCCACTTTGAATGTTGAATAATGGCAAGCACTATTGATGATTATTTCCCCTATTCCTGATGTAGGTGGAGTTTGTGATGATGTTAAAGGATCTATATGAGCTGTGGTACTCATTACTGGTGTGGTATACAATTTGCCATTGTGTATCTGTGGAGAATTATGTGTTTGACTAGTGTGAGGATAGACAGAGCAATTTGAAGTTTGTTCTGCCCTCGGTTCACATATCATACCCATTTTTACTTCAAATATGACATCTTGAATTTTTTTCTTAGCAACCAACAGATTCTTTTCACCTTTTAATGATCTCAGCTCATTTGCTATATACTCTCCAAACACTGAGAACTCATCCCTACTTTTTGATTCAGATTGGAAAACAAGTTCTGGCTTGACCGGTGTGAAGTTGTCCGTCCTTGGAATTTTGTGGGGTGGTGATAGATTCACAATTTTACATTCACTTATAGAGTTTTCCGAATGTGTTACTATAGTGCTGTTTACTTCTGCCTGTAAATCCTGGAATTTGGAAATATAATGTTTTAAAATTTATAAGTAATTTCTTTATTTCATTACATTTAAAATTTTTAGTCTAAGGAAATATTTATAAAGTGTAAACAAGTTCTACTTAAAAGTTATGAATAGTTAGTAAAAATTATTTTATATAAATAAATAAAATCAGGACAATAACTGTAATCTTCAGCGGTTAATAAGACATGCACCGATGTAAATATTAATGTGATACTTACAGATTGCAATATTCTGTATGGTTTGTTAGAATCCTTCATAAAATGAAGATACTCAAATGCGTACCAATTACTAACGTATCTATCGTTTGGATCTTCAGCATTTGCTCTAGTTTCTCTCGCCGATTCTCTGTTATACTGAGTCCTGAGATGTTGAATTTTTTTCGTAGTATCTGGCAGTGGAATTCCCAAAAGCTCAGATATCACACGTAGTTCTTCTTTGCGTTTCTGTTTGTCTCGTCTGGTGTCACACAAAGATGGATTCCAAAGGCTCGCGTTAACTTGCAACAGCTCGATCAACTTCAAAGTCTTATCCTTAGACCACTCCATCTCACGATGTTAAAAGCGCCTGTAGAAATTAATAAACAATGGATTTGCCGTGAGAGTTATTTGACAACAAATCGTTAGATAATTCAGTAAACTGTGTCGATCGATGCTATGCGATCCGATAACAAAAACACAAACGCAAAAATAATTGGATAATGACATTGACGTTTCGGTTGAGAGATATGACAACTTAACTGACAGCTTTGACATGAACTATGTTGCCTTATTGAAACCGTTATTATTTTACAATAAAGATTTTAATTTAATGTTACTGTATTAAACTAGATAAATAATCCTAATTAAAAAATATTTTTAAAAGTAATTTATCATCATCTGCTTTTTCCTTATCCCATTTATTTGGGGTCGGCTTAATATGTTTTTCTCTTCCATTCACCCCTGTTCGCAATGATCTCGTTATTTACTTCCTTTCTTACCATATCATTTTCACACAGTCCATCCATCTCTTTTTCGGACTTCCTCTGACCTTATAACCATCCACATTCATATGTAACATCTTCCTTAAAATATTATCTACATTCCTTACTTGTCCATATCACGATTACTCTTCAACCTCTCCGACACCGGCGCCGGTTAAATGTAATTAAACAGTAATATAATATAAGACACCACGGAAGTAGTTATTTCATAATGAATGAATATGAAATGGTGCACCTGGCTGCAGTACCGGTGTACGCTAAATTATACTGATTGGGCTCCAGCAGGGGATGATAAGATAAATTGGTTAGCTTATCGTGGAGAATATGTCAAGAATTAACCAGAATGCTTTCCAGTTTTTAATAATACTTGAATCATCATTTATAAGTAGGTAGTTTATTTGGTAGGCGGATTAGAGTCATTTAATTTAGTTCGTAGTACCTATATATCTGATATTCGGAGTACCAGATGGAATAAAATACTGTAAATAATATATTTTTATTTTACTGAATGTGGACGGTATATCAAAAATGTTATCTTATGTAATTTCGAAATTTGAGTAATGAAATGAGTTTACCTGAGGATAGAATAACTATGATATGATCATGGACGTAGTCTATTTGGTCTCAGAAAACTAGCATTTTACACTCAAATCCAATACCTCCTCAATGTAGATTGCATGTCGCTAACTATTAGGCAACTAGATACTTGTTCGTAACGAATCTATTCAGATAGTCATATTCATTTTGATTCAAAGTTGATAGGTAGAGACTTCGTTGTATACCTAGCACCAAGAAGGTATATACTTGTGTTTTGGTTTAAAGTTTATGTTTCGGTAAGAGATGAAGGGAAGAATGATGAGCCTTTGTAGATATCTCTTTACGATAGGTAGTTATATCTAGATATAGGTAGGTCATAATAAACAAAGAATAAAATTTCTAATTTCATTTATTTACAAGACTAAATGTGAATTGACTGTCACATTATAAAACAGGTGCCCTACAGAATAATCTATGCATAATAAATATGTACAATATATACAACTGCCATCCAATACAAATGCATTAAAGTAAAACATGTAAGTCAATATCAAGTCTATTCAGACATTACCTTAGATTACAGGAACTAATTAACAAAGAGTCGAGGAACCCACAATTAGCATTCGGAAAAAAGTTTTCATACAACTAAAATAGTTAACTTATTAGCACATGGTGAGAAATTAACATAAAACAATCAGTTCATTTAATAAACGATTAACATAAAATATACTTAATTCAATATAAATAGGTTAAGTAGCGTAGCTAGTAACCTATCAAATATATCTAAATGATCACAAATTCAAAATGATAAGTCTAGGTATAGATAATAATGAAAAACGTGACTACAGCGTGCAAACTAAATATAAGGTGTATATATGATAATAGAAATATTTCATACGGATCATTTCACTTTTATATTGGTTGATTTCAAAAATATAACTAGACACTACGTCTAGACGACACAGATACTTTTATATTTCTTTAATTTTACTTTGGATCAAATAAATAGTCTTACATAAAAGAGACTTTATACAAAATTTCATTATAATAATAATTTTGCTATTTAACTGACGAACATGAGGTAAGTATTACATATTATTTGCTATTTTATTACCTACATCATTAAACAATGGAATGACAATATTTCAAATTACAAAAAAAGCTAAACTTGATACTACTGTAGTAATATCGCATGAGCTTTTATTGTTTTATAAATTGTCTAATTTGTTTCGTTTCTTTATATCTAATTACAGTAGGTATGTTACACTGTTCAAATATATATTTTAGTACAATAGGCACCTACATGACATTGAAAAACAAGTAGGTAGGTATTACAAATCTTAAGTATATAACTTAGATTTAAAAATCGCAATTAGGTACAGTTTTGTATTGATATATTTTTTTTAATATGGAGGTATTTATAGTACAATTAACGTTGCAACATCATGGGGTGTTTCCATTGCATACAAGTTTGTATTAAGTTTTATTATTTTTACATGCAAGCTGCCACTTGCGTATGAGTGATCCCGTTTGTTGCCTATAAGGCAACATTTTAATTTGCTAATTGTTCATTCGTAATTATAAAGCCTTTAAATGCAGTTTCAAAGCAGTGACGTTCATGATAGCTACTTACTATATCATTCAGAGTTAAGAAATAATTAAATAAAATGTTATAACTAAATCACAATAACAACAACAATTGCTTAAACAAAATATATACACAAGTTTTATACAAATATCATTTTCAGTGACTGTACATAAACGTCCCAAGTTTAGAGATTCGACGGACATATATTGTCTTGGGATAATTCTTACAATATCTGCACTTGACTTATATTTGACACAAAATGGTAGGCATATTTATTGCTAAGTAAATATTAATTTAGTGGAAATATTATGCGTCTACGAGTATCTTGTATGCGTCTTTATAAATGTTGTTAAAAAACTGTACCAAACAATGGTTCTGTACAAAATGGCATTAATTGCCATACATTAATCACCATTATTACAAACAATTTAACGAATAATATAGTTTCTTATTTTTAACAATTGACAATACTCTGTCTAATTAGGTAAGTATGTTAAGTTGGTGGTCATATTGCATTATTACACTTATATAAATAATTAATTTTTAGTTTGAACTTGTTTCCCAACTATTTATCTCAACATTCCTACTACTGTCATCTATGCCCACATTTACGTGCAACCTCAGTTCACTCCACCAGGTCCTCAGTACCTCAAGAATAAACAAAATAAATACTAGCTAACTATTTCTGTACAAAATTACATATTACTTCGATTTACGTGACGTCCAGGGGCCGAGAGTCGCGTGATCTGAAAAAGCCTCGCTCCGTTCTGCACTCCCTGATAGTGACCGTTTGAAGGTTGACTGTTACATCGGTGATGAAGATTTGGTCGGCGACGGGAGAGCGCGACATCCAGTACGCGGCGTCCCGGCGTGGCGGCTGCGGAGGTGGCGGGGGCACCACCGGCGGCGCCTCGCCCCACGAGTCCTCGTCTTCGGGCTGGGGCGCGGGAGGTGGCGGCCGGGCACCCTTCGGCTCCGCCGGCGCAGTCGCCGTTGGCTGGCTATCCGTGCGTCGTTCACGTTCCGGAGGAGTATGAGCGTCCGCTTCTTCGGGCGAGTGCGGCGCTCTTCTCGGACCGGTTCTCGGCGCGGCGGCTTCCGCGGCGGGGGAGGCGGGAGCGGCGGCCCCGCCGGGAGGTGCCGCGGGGGGCGGGGGCTGGTTCGCGTGCGGCGTCCGCCCGCCGTTCAGCTTCGTGGAGTCGTGTCGTTTTGCTGGCGGACTCATGGTAATCGTGACTCCGATTTTGCCCGACTCTTGAGATAGAACGGCGGCCTTGCGTTTGCCGGGAGGAGGGTGCGTCTCCTCGGATCCGCTCCGTTCTCTCTCCACTGGCGAGAGTTCCCTCTCCCGCTTCCGACCCGGGTGTTTGCGTATCTCCTCGCCCCGTTCGAAGCTCTGAATGAGGCGCGGATCGAGTATATTCTCCTCGGGTTCCCACGTGTTGTGCTTCGGTTTCCACCCTTTCCATTTCACGAAGTACTCCACTTTGTTCTGGAACGAGAGAAATGAAACGACGGTTACTTAAAGAACATTATTCAATGCAATTATGAAGCGAGCGTGTCGCCGGCCCGTCGTGCATGGCGCAACTGATCGTTGGCGACTGGCGTGCATAACGAACGGGAGGGTTGCATATAGCATTGCAGATTATTATGCGATGATAACACATAAGGACAGGAATAAACGTTCACTGGACTTTAACTAGAGAGCCTGTGAAAATTTATATGCAAGTAGAATTGCACCTATCGAATATAAAAGTTGATTCTGGCGCTGCATTAACTTAAGATAAGGATTATTTGGGTGCACGACGTGGCTCGCAGTGCGGTGGTGAGTTTGCGAGTCATTTCGGGCGCACCTGCCGTCGCGCGTCAGAGGCCAGCTGTCGCGCTCCCCGGCCCGGGGCCGAAATACAGTGATATTGTGCGCATATAAGCATTGTTGCTTGGTGTACGTTGCCTACATGTGAACGACTTGCAATCACAGAATACCTAACTGTCACAAACATGTTCCCTAAAACAGGTTATCCGATGATGTATCTGGAGGTAATTGATTATTTTTACTTCCAGAATATTTGATAGGGACATGGATAGATAGTTGATGTTAACTTGATGGTTATATATGTAATATAGTTGTTTTGTATTTAAGTACTTTGTATTAGATATTTACAATAATGTTTATTGAAGAACACAAACATAATATCTACATATAGATATTCTTCAGAGAGACACAACTTTGACTCTAGGTACCTACTTTCTCGGGTACACAGTTGTAGGTACCTAATCCTCGATAATAAAAAAGTGCATACAAAATACATAAGCAGATAGATAAGTACGTATGAGCTAGTATAAAATTTTATTTTTGATTGATATCGTACTGTGGATGTTCAGTTATAGGGGAAGTAAAATTAAAAACTTGATGAAACTAGTACTAATAAATCCTCCCATCAACGAAAACGAATTGTAAAATAGTGTCCGACCGAAAGTTCGGTTTCGGTTTCTGAAACTGATTTCCGAGGTTGTCGTGCACGCTCGCCTAACTTCGTTTCTCGCGGCAACGTTATTGCGGATGCTGGCGGCTCTAGCAACAAAAACATTATCGCCCAACACAAACATTCTTAGAGATTATGTTTTGATGGAACTGATTACATATAAGTTTTTGTTTCGTTTCTGTATCGAGCTCAGATACTGATCTGAGCTCGATACAGAAACGAACTCTTGTTCAGACAACCATTCCAATTTTGACCTCTAAACCTAAATTTGTACTGTGGCCTGATGATTATGAAATTGAAAAAGGATTGATAAAACTATAATGGATCTCATAATCGTGGACATGCTGCCTCATACTTATGTGGAAGGTTAGAAAAAAAGAAAATAAAATATTGTTAATATTTTTTTATAGGTATTATATTAAATAAATGATTACAACAAACTTAATATACCTACGGCGCGGCGGCGTTTCCATTTCACGTCTTAATTAATGCAGAGTAATGGGTAAAATCCACCAAATTTCAGTATTTTATACTTGATCACGTTAGTTTTTGATTCGGCAGAAATTGAAGCCACGGCCGAATATTCGATTTCGGTTTCAGTTTCGGCCGGAAAACCAGTTTCGGAGGGACTCTATTGTAAAATAATAAAAGGTATTTCAATATTATAATAATATAAGAGAATGAAATGGAACCTGTGTTATAGTATTCCGCCCCTATACTCGGCTCGTTGGTAATCAGACAGTTTATGGAAGAAGATACATTTTTTTGTGAATATAAAGGTACGTGTAGATACTTAAAACATCTACATAGAAAACAGTCAACCGATACAAACATGGATACTCATGACATACACATACAAATGTTTGTAACGTGCGAAGAATCGAAACCGCGAAATCGAACTATCGGAAGTAAGACGGATTGCTAAATCGCTAGACGACCGAGGCCGGCAATCTTAAGGGGACTTATATATTAGGTATGCGACTATCAATTTCAAATATCGCAGAATTATGTATTTATAGAATATCACCGATGGCAGAAACCATACTTAGACAACCATAGATAAATATTTGGTCGCCGAAAGACGCATTCAAAGTTCTTCATGTTATGTATTAGCCACTTCGCAGGGTAGAGAATTTTAACTTCTAGGTAAAAGGTAAGGTAAACAGCTGGCAGTTATACAGTGTAAGGAGTCCAGTTGTCTACGCATAGATTTTCTTTGCTTGTGCAATCATATCACCATTGGACAATCGCTAAATCAAAACTAAGGTAACCGGAAACTAAGGTAAAAGGAAACAGAAACTAAGGTAAAAGGAATATTTCGAAATTATGTATGTTATTAGGTAGTAGTATAGGCATTAAATACGTTATACCTATGCAGCGAGATTCTAGGATTGCCCGACGTTATTTAAGATTGTGACGTTGAGTTGAGATTAGGTAGGAATGAAGTACCTACCTAACTATATCTAGTTAAAAACGCTGCTAACTTTACCAAAATTCTGGTGGTTGATTTTTTCATTCAGGTAATTATACCTAAAATCGTAATAAATCTGTCTTCAATAGACCTAGACACTATTATTAAATAGATGCTTTAAAGTTCGTAAATAAAGGGATTTTCTCTCAAACTTTATTTCGTAGTTCATTCAAATCGATGAAAGAGAAATAGTTGGTGAGGTAGATAGGTAAAAAAAGTGAGTAGGTACTCGTTAACATAGATTAGGCATCTAAACTTAGAAGTAGGTAGGAATACTTACTATAAACCTAAGAATTTTCCAAAAATCTCTGTCTCTATTTAGGTCGTAATACAGAGACAGCCATTATGTTCCAAACTCATTGCATAATCTGTACAAAATAAGTGAATCCAAATAATTTAACTTGAGGTTAAAATTTCGAAACAACGACGCACAAACTAATTCGTGATGGTGAAATGCAAACAGGACTACAATGTTATATCCTTTTTCTTTTGGCCCTCTTAATTTTATTAATATTATCGAATTCTAAACTCCACTGCTGTGCCATAAGGCTGATAGTCGGTATACACGCGCGGTGTTTAGGGCGTTTCAAAATTCATACGGGCGTTTCAAACCCTCGCTCCTTATTGGCTTGCTCGTAGAGGGTGCGATGAAAATTGGTGTACCGCTGTGACTTTGTTCCAGCGATCGAAAAAGTTTTTATTTAGATTTACTACCAGCCAAGCCGCAATATTATAATATTGTTATGCATAAATAAGAACAGTCATAATTTAAAAATTCGATGTGTGTATTTATGTAGAAAAGTGTAATTTACAGGAGATCAAACCGCTAGCTCAAATAGCTGATGTGGACTTTTGTGTGGAAACAAACAAAACAAATTCTGAATAACAGATTCTGTTGAATATGATTTCGGATTAGATAATAACTAGTAGGTATTTCCGATTCCTCGATAACCCATATTTCCCTAGATATAGGTAATAGCAAGGCTATTATAGACGTAAAAGATAAACGTTTAATTTTCTCTGATAATCTAAAAGATTAAACTTAATTATTAGACTAAAAAGTCTTTATTTGCAGAAATAGGGTAGGAGGAGAATGTTAAATATAGATTTAAAATAAAAAAATTATAAAGACCTATGTAGGAATTCTTAAATTAATAAAACGTAAAGTTACGAAGTATGATTATTATATAATAAGAAACATGTAAAACGTAAAAGAATTTAAACAAACTACCAATATATATCGCTTATATTACTTGATAATCTTAATAAAACAATAGATATCTACCTACACAATACTCAAATGATAAAAGCTCAACGAATGACTAAGTGCCTATGGTATAATAAATGACAACATTGTATTATATTCATTTATTACCTCATCACAAACCAAAGTCAGAAGCCAAACAAAGGCCGTTTTCATTTCAAAAAAATAAAAAGGATCCGTTGGGACGTGTGGGCAAGGTAAGGTCGTTCGGCTGTCGCGCAGTGATTGGACGAAACGCGGGCGGGCGGGGCGAAGGGTGAGGTACCACACCCCCGCTTCGTCTCACTCCACCCCCGCCGGCTTGTTCCGACCTACCACGTTATAAATGTATGCAACATGGCCCTTATGTAAAATATACATAAAGTTCAATTTCTATTGGTCGGACGATGTAGTTAAGATTGTAGAATTGATGGTTGTAATCGTGCCATGGGCGGACCGAGTCTCGGAAGCATAGACGCCAATTAGCGCCGATCGGAACCACGTTGTAATTAGCGCGGGAATAATTAGTTGATTAACACTAATCCGTATGATGATCATACAGTAGAGGTTGCACTAATGAGATGCTATTACACGCAAAAAGCTGACGATTCACGCATCGGTGAAGGAGAAAAAACGCATGAGGTTTATAATGATTTGTCAATGAATTCTGAGGAACTATTAGCGATTATCAACTTCTGTCTGTCAGAGTTTTGTGATATGTAGTTTGTAACATATGTTAATGTTTCCTGCGTTTGTTTGTTAACAAATTATTGACTATTCGCGCGTCCATTCTCGTTGACAAGAAGAAATTATTAACTTTCTTACTTTTGACAGTAGCAAGTCCAATTCTCATGTCTGTTGCAACACAGTTACCTATATCGACATACAATTGGGTTACTGGAAACACTATTTTGATAAATTAGTTCTTGATAGCAAAAGGTATCTACAGCTACAACTTTGCCCGTTTACTACCGAGTAGTAGGTTATCACTGACCAAAGCTTTAGCAAAATTCTACAGAAATTTACAATTTTGGAAGTGAACACTTAACCAGGATAAATTAGAACTTCTCAGGATAGATTAGAAGATATTATACCTTCTAGTAACTTTGGCCGTTTATCTACTACCGAGTATGTTACCACTGATCAAACTTTAGCAAAAATCTACAGAAATATACGACATTTGAAGCTAGCAGCTATCTAATAGAAACCTAGTCATTCGCCACATTTCTACCACTTAGTTTACTAGCTCACACAGTACAATTTTCATGCTCTCTTCGATCTTCAATTATTTC